ACACACATATATGTGCAGATAATTATAAAGACAGAAAATTTCCGCAAAAATGGTTCAGGGTAGGTAAGATTAAATGGTGCATATAATCGCAAACGTCTGATCCTCGGATGAGCGTGCAAGGAGGACAATATATGCAAACTTACACACACACACACACACACGTGTGTGTGTGTGTGTGTGTGTGTGCGCGTGTATATACATATATATATATAAAATTAAAATATAATTTAAGATATGCAAATCGAACGAAGATTTTGTATATAAAAAAAAAATTGCATATTTGAAGAAAAAGGGGTAAAGAATAAAAAAAGAAAAGAAGTAAATCTATTCTTCAAATCAATAATCAGAGGATTTTCGTGAATTAAAGAACGGGAAATGAGTGAAACAATAAATTACTTTATCTTTTTCTATATTGGGAATGAAGAGAGATAAGAGACATTACAAATATTTTCGAACGAACTGTGAGATAGAAGATTTTCACGCACATTTAAAACTCGAAAAAATAACGAAACGAGCTCGTATATTATAAAAATATAGCTGTTATTTATCGATTCTACGTATTCAAATATTTTTAATCAATAGTTTAAATTAATGGTCAGTATTTATAAAAAAATATTAGTACGTAATGTAAGTGATTAGTATATTATACCTATTAATACAAAAATTGTCAATATTTTAGTCAAAATAAATATTAATATAATAATTTATCAATATTTTTAATAAACCCAGATGCAATCCAGACACTTAATTATATAAATATACTAATAACTTATATTACGTACTGATATTTTATTATAAATATTGATCAATATATATATATATATCCTGACCGATTTATTTTACAAAATATTTGTCAATAATTAATAAAAATACTGACCAAATAAATATAGAAGTGTATATCGAAATCATTTGGCTTTTAAAATCTTACCTCAATATATTTAAATAATTTTAAAGAAAGACATTGCGTAAATAGGAATCATTGTTTTATATATATATATATATATATATATATATATATATATATATATTCTCGGTCACAAAATTGCATACGATCTAGCCGTTTACGAATGACACGCGATCAAAGAAGCACCTTCTCTAAGGACGTTTCAATTAAATTCTCTTCTCTCTACAGACAACACTCTTGTCATGCTCACAGCGGAGCTCGCGGAAAATTTCTTCAACGTTTTGTTTAACTCGTCTTTTACGAATAGACGACACGTTTCTCTTCCGCATTGTAAACGAGCCAACATAACCGAGAAGAGACTAATTCGTTGCGAACTTGACTTCTCTATAAAATCTCCTTCCCCTCTTCTCTCTCTCTCTCTCTTTCTCTTTCTCTCTTTATCTCTCATTCTTTCACTCTCACTTTCATGAAACATTACTCCTAATGACGTGGAGAGAGAGAGAGAGAGAGAGAGAGAGAGAGAGAGAGAAAAAGGAGGGAGAGAAGGAAGAAGAAAAAACAGACTTTTTATGTGACGATTTAAACCGACAGAATTGACACTCGACGTTCAATAATTCAATTCACGCTGTTGGATACACAAAATATTTACATATATAAGAGAAGAACATTGATACAATGGAATCGAACTAAAGATAATCGTGATAACGGATGGTAAACTTTTCTCTTTGTACGTATATCTTAAGCTTATCGACAAAATTTACTGTGTCTAGAAAATCGACGCAATAAATTTATTATCTTCAAAATGCAAAATGAAAATTATAAATCCGACTGGAATGAAACTTTTCTGCAGACTGAGGAGAAAACTGAGATGAAGGGCGGAGAGGAAGAAATGGGGAAAGTAGAAAAATAATAATTATAATAAGCGATCACGTGCAATAATATTCGACAACGAACGTGATAAAGTATACGATTGAATAGAACGAACCTATTGGTTGTGGGCTTTCCTAGATACAAGTGGACTCCGAAGAAGGATAATTTAAAGCCCTTCGCGATCCAACGCGTTTTTCCGAGGACAAATATATCTTTCATTGTTAATATTTATATATATTCTCTTTCTCGATGAAAATTATACTTTCACCCTCCTATCTCGTTTTATTTAAACGAGTTTAAAATCGAAAAGATTTATACACTCACGTATGCGATACGTGATACCGTTTCGGATCTCGAACACGCTCGTGAACCATTCGAAAGGCGAATAATAGCAGCGGCGAACACCGTTGGTTAGGGTTCCCTTCTAAGGCCGTTCTTCCGGTGAAACTCACGAAGAAGCACTAACGCACCAACCACGACTGACAACCATAAGAACTTCATGGAGAATCTCTATCCTCTCTTTCCTCGCTCTATCAGAAAGATTCTTGGAGAGGGGATACAGACTCGCGGCATTGGCCTCGATACAGCGCCACTACTACTTCCCTCTCTTTTTCTCTTCAACTCTCAGCCGAGAGAGTTATCGAGTCGTTACACACACGAGCACTTTATAAGTTAATAGATTCAATTGAGTGCACTACGTCTATGGCCCTTGAAAGAAATAAATGAGCCTCTGTGTTTTCTTTGGACAAGCTTGTATAATTTTCGAAAGTTTAAAGATAGCTATCCTATGGGTATAATTATTTTATATTTACATTATATTATGGTATAATTTTTTTATTTTTTTTTTCTTCTTTCTTATATTTGACTATAAACTTTTTATTGAAAAAGATTTGTAGGAATAGTATTGTTATAGTAAAACTTACCTATATGTACCCTTGCTTTGTGGACTATCATAATCAATACGCCTACGTTTGTGTTCATACTGAGGTGAACCAGCTGAATGGGAACGAGTCCTAGAGTGACTGCGTGAACGATGACGTCTTCTGCTTCGTGGCATCTGTAACAAAGCGTTCCAATTTTAATAATATATAATATAAAAGAATTGTTATATGGAAGCTTTATAAAAATTCTTGAAATGTATATTGTCTTTGAAATATAAAGATATATGTTTATAATTCAGAAAACTTGCACATTAATAAACGATTTGACGAAATGATTGCGTTTGACAATAAATCGACTTTCTAAAATAATATTAAACTTTTATCAGATAGATGAGTTGGTCAACAATTTTCTTAACCTTGAGAGGTTAGAAATCTAATGACTATGTTTATGAAAACAACATTGTGATAATAATTATATTTTATTTTGAAAATATGAATCATTGAAAACAACAACATAAATTTATTCAACTAGCAGGAAACCTAAGAGTATATAAAAGTTATCTCTACTTAGGAAAAATAAAAAGTACACACAAAAGTTTCTATAAAACTAGATAAATAGATCTTTCCTTTTCCATGTTATTTTGCTGTATATTAAGAATACTAATGCTTAATAAATACCACCTCAACCGATGATTTTTATGACATTTAATATAGACAAAATTAAACAATTGTAATTAATCTTAAAATATGTAAATACATGCAATGGATATGAGTTTTTATGATGTAATAATGTATACGCAATAAACAATGGCAGCATATAATTTTGAAAAGGAGCAAGACCGTTCGTTGCGGGAGAATTTCCATGAAAAATTATCAATGGAATTTTCTAAAAACTAATGACAGAAGAGAAGCAAAATCGGCAAGAGAGCTGAGAAATATGAGAATACGCTCTACATTTACAGAGATACTCTTGAAAGTTTTCAAGAAAAAAAGAGGACTAGGACCAGATTCGCCTTACTGAAGCCAGACTCCTTGTACTTACATTCGGAATCCGAAACAGGCTTACTTGGTCCCAAATGAAATCGAAGACGGACGAAATCCAGGAGCGTGAAGATGATGCTTGTGGTACGAGACTGTTTTTCGACAACGTTGAGGACATCGGCTCAAAAAATTCTGTAAAACGTGGGCATTCGCATCGTAAAAGTATAATAAAGATCTACAAAAGAGATCAGCCCACTCCGAAAGATATAAAAGAAAAAAATATTTTTTGTCTGCGAAGGACAAAAAATTATAATATTCCTTCTGTACAACTACATTACTCATTATTAAGGTAAACGCGTAAATCTACAAACGCGCGACGCAATATAAGAAATTGTAACGTTATAAAAAAGACATCTATAAAACCCCGCCAAAACCATCTTGCTCGCAAGTACTTACGAAAACGCGTACATATAGGAACGTTCAAAAACGACAGCATGATACGTGCATCATCTATGATGAAAATCTTGAGAAAAATGGAATGACAATAAGAGATAAATTGGCACGCGTGGGCATGCTGGGGCAAATATATAAAAATCGATGTTAACCGAGCGATTTCAACTTCTCATAACTATTTAACTTCTTGTCGTCCATTTGCTTTACAAAGAACGAATATCGTGATGACGATGTACGACCAAAGGCGTGCATCGTTCGTGAAAGATGTGAAAAAGCTGTAAAAGTTCGTGCATAAGAAGCGCAGTAGTCCGCAAAGTGTACGCCATAAGGGAATGTTCATGAAATGGCGGCCATCTTGGAGATATGAAGGAAAGCATCAGGTACAAAAGCGAATACGCAAAGCATACGCGTCGAGTTTGTTTCGGGCATTTATAGAACTTAATATCGTCCAAAATAGACTCAACGCATTACGATATCATTATGAATATAATTACTTACGTTGGAGAAAGGAAATGTGCTCGCTTGGTCCCCAAAATCGAGCTCGAAAACACGATATCCAAGAGCACGACGACGTGCAAACGTACGACACTTTAGTGTGACAACGACGTGGACGTCGGATCGATGCGATTGGTGAGCGTTGCTCGGTTATATTCGTTTATGGTCGTGATTCCGACCGCTGACGAATTTAGCCGAAGACGCACGAATGTACACGATCTACGCTCAAATCACCGAGCTTTGGTAAATTTAAGGAAGATCTTTACTTAACTCGCGTATGAGCTTTATAGAAGATAGATGTTTATCAAAAATACAAGGAATATTATCTAATCAATTTTATCTTTCTAACGTACCATATGTTTAGAAAAATGAAATACATTTATTAATGTTTCTTTTCCTTTATGTTCAATTAAATTGAAATGGTTATAATCATTTATAAAGATACCACAATATTTGGTTACGTAGAACAAAAATGATAGATATAGACAACGTATATGTGCACACGTGATTCGTCATTAGGAAAAACGTATTCTATTTTACATATATACGACTTCGACAACGTTCGAGATGAGAATCGAAATATGTGTATATCGAAAGTGATCGCGTATCTCGAAATTTAAATCCAATAAAATAAATTATATGTAAAAATGAGATATATAATTATGCGACTAAAAAAATATGGATACCTTAATTTCATAACCAATTAGAAAGAATAATCGATTAAGTGGAATATTAATGAATCAAAAACATCGTGTGCGTCGAGTGAATTATATTAGCGTAAAAATTCTAACCTCCAATCGACGAAAATGAAGATCTAATTTATCTCCCACACGTAAGAAATTATAAACATAATCAATAACCCCAATTTCTTTCACGAATCCTCGTAAGATTAATAAAAATCGAAGTAAACCTATTGTTAATAAGCATAATAATAATAACATTAAAAATTTTGAATGAGTTTAAACGCACCTGCATCCAGATTAGACTTCTAAAAATATCTGCGAGTCCGCATCGAATAAGATTTAATAGATTCCATAACATATTCACGCTGAATTTCTTGTATACACATTAAATTAATCGCGTAAGCACAATCTATAAAGTGTAAACACTTGAGCTCGGAATAACGATTTGATAATCTGTCCGCGTTATCATAGATGGCACCACCAACACGCAAACGATATTTGTATAACGACCTACCAGCATCTTTACCAATAAATATTTCAATATTTTGGCGGTTCGACGTTTGCACGTCACAAATGACGACCAATTTTTCTTTTTTCTTTTTTTTTTTTTTTCTTTTTTTTGTTTTATTCCTTTCATTAAATATAACTGTTTCGATCAAGAATCACGTTACTAAAATATTATAATATACTATATTTGCTTGATCTTAAAATATGTCTATAACGCATTTTGATTGAAGCAACTAAGTTAAGGAAAAAAAAATAGTCGCTTAGAATAAAACTCACGTAGTGGTTTTATGACAGTATTTCTTGATCTTGTACCGGACATAGCAAAAGTATTATATAAGGGGGGAAACCTACAAAATGAATTAATAAACAATAATAATAATGATAATAATAATAATAATAATAATAATAATAATAATAATAATAATAATAATAATAATAATAATGATAATAATAATGATAATAATAATAATAATAATAAAAATAGAGAAGAAGATAAATTTTTATCAAACATAAAAACGTTAGGATAGAAAAACAAACGAATCACATGATCGCTAAATATTCTATTGCTCTTTATCGTGTTTTACCTCATTCAAAGTGAAAAATTCAGAATGATCGAAGATAAATCGTTGAGTAGTCGCCATGGAAATTGATCTCGATAGATCAGGCCATAAGATAGCGCACCTTTTCTGAAACATATTCCAATTGTTCCATATTGTTGGAAAATTGATCGATTAAAGTTACGTTAAAAAATATTCGCATGAAAATAAAAATGAAATATATTAAAAAAAAAAGAAATTAACTACTGTAAATCGATCGATTGTGCGTAATTTGGAAATTATTCAAATTGTGTGTCATAATCTTATAAATACTGCCCTTCTATCTTTATGCTTTCAAAGAAGAGAAAACTTGCAACACTTGGAATGATTCACATTGATATTTGTCCCTGTATGATAAATTAGTCGTATAATTAATATAACAAAAACGTTAACATTTTTTTGTTAACATTTTTTTTCGTAAAATATATAAAAAAAAAAAAAAAAAAAAAAAAAAAAAAATAATAAATTGCTCTTAATTTAAAAGATGATGAAAATTCAATTAATTTCAGCATGAAATAGTAAAAGTCGATAGACCAATGCAAAAACATAACTCTTACGTCTGCTACACGTGATACAACTGGACCTGCGCCAATCACGATGCGGCTCACGCGAGTATACTCGATCGGCGGGTTAATAATTAGACCGCATTCGTAGTAATGAGGTCATGAAATTTATCCAAGATTATAAGTGTGCACAGATTACAAAAAAAAAAAAAAAAAAAAAAAAGAAAAAAAATAAAGAACGGAAAAAAAGAAAAAAAAAAGAGGTAGATTGTCTAATTTGAAATCGAATTTATTAATAAACTTGATAGAAAATTTTTCGATAAAAAAAAAAAGATAAAGAAAATCATAAAATTTCAAATATTCTTTTTGTCTATTAATTAACATATAAAACTTACAGGAATATCGTCCTGTCACGAGTACCGTTTGATGCGCCACTGATTCGTTTGCAGAAAGCTCTAACGAGGGAAAAGCTCATAGAAGAAAGTGTGAAGCATTCAAAATGGATGATTCATAAGAAGAACGTTCAACTTACTTGTTCTTTGGAAGATAACAAACTTCGAATATTCTTCGTTCGAAAGGATGACGATTGGGAAAAATTTGAAAGACCCTTCGATGTAAGATAGAGAAAGATTCGTGGCGCGGATCGCGCGCCCATCTTAATCGCTTATCTAGGACTCACCGAGCGTGGTAGTTGCTTGCAGTATGTCTCATCGTTTTGGCACATGCGCAGTGACACAACCTACCCTAGGTAGATATCGTACATATGACCTTCAGCGGGTATAGGAGAGGGTGAACAAATTTGAACCATATTTTTGCAGCACACCCACGTTAGAGAACAAATTATGACGTTTATGCAGCAAAAATCTTTAATCTTCATGTATTTATATACTTGATGATTCTTTCTTTATTTTTTAATAGAACGTAATACGAAGGTACAGTAAGATGGTAAGTTGATAAAAAACTATATGAAGTCGTTTCATTGAAAATATTAATATATTCTCATGCTATCATGCTAAAATATTATCGGCGGTAAATTTGAAATTATCAATACTAGAAAACAAATACGTAAAACGATCTATCTATTTATCTCGATCAATTATAATCGAATAACTTCATGTATTTCTATATAAAATCTATAAGGTAGTATGGAAGAAAATCTGTATCTCTTATTAATTATATTTCAAGCTAGATCACGATTTGTAAGATCTCAGAGTCGGTCTGAAATCGAGTTACCCTTTCGTGCGTCAGAAAGCGATCGATGGATTTGGTTGTCCCGGCAACGCGCGAATACCGTTGGAGGACCGCCGCAGAAGCAGAAACTCTGATGGCGGGAGTGTCCGTGTGTTGGAGGAAAAGGGGTTGTTAAAGTGGTGGAGAAGAGTGAAGAGGAGTACAAGAGTGGACGAGAACGCGACAACGACAACGACGACTGGTGGAGGTGGTAATGGTGGTGGTGGTGGTGGTTGAAGTAAAGGAGGTGGAGGAGAGATTGGCTGATCGACTCTGATCGACGCTAACGATGCAGTGACAAAGTCAGCCACAGTAGAGAGAGGACGTTTCTTTTTAGGAGTCCTCTCCAAACCTTCCATCGCGGATTCTAATGTTCTCCACGCGTTCTTTCACAAACAATCATCATCGTCCCAGCTGACTATCACGATCAATCTTTTCGCACAACGTCACATCAAAAGGACAGATTATTATTGTGCGATGCCACGGAGGCCAACGTCCCTCCGCAGCAACAATTTAATATCAATCGAATCATCAAAACGGAAGGGACCACTTCGCGAGACGTCAATGACGTTAGGATGTACACTGCAAACGGCGAGAGGAAAGAACGAAACTCGTCAGAAAATCTTTTCCTTCGGAGATGGGTCGACATGCCGAGACATCTCCAATTTAATCCGCACATACATACTGGTTACAGGCCTCTCATGACCGTCCGTCAATGTATCGGTAGTCTCTTTTATATCCACAATGAGACTGTCAACATCATGACGCACGGTAAGCATTTAGATCTATCAAGCTCTAATACTTTATTAATTCTCAAAGAAACTTTTATTCCTACTTGAGAAACGAATTGCTTTTATATGCTTGTTTTCATTTATTTATCTCTACAAGAAAAATAATGCAACGAAATTATACAAAAATAATTATAACTTATAGAAAAATGTGGTTACATCGAGGAAATAACCGTGAATATGATCCCAAGGAATCGATTACATACATGCTTGGTAACCAAGTTGCATCGATTTTGTCCTATATGTATCACATATTGATTTATAGATTTTTTCACCTCAAAAATACAGCACATGAATGATTTTTACTCGAGCTAAATATACGATCTAAAATAATAATTAGATCTTGTCACATCACTTAACATTTCTGATAAATGAATACATAATATAAAATTTGAATTCGATCGATATTTAAGGAAAACTCCAATAAATGACGTAAATACATAACTAAAATAATAGATAAAGCCGTAGAGATAAGTGTATCAATTAAAAATTAATTACGATAACAAAAGGCCAAATATTTGATAAAACGCCTATATAATCTAAACAGTTGTATAAATCGAAAAAGTTCAAGTTTGATAAAAAAAAAAAAAAATTATATACATAATAACATATGTAAAAAATGATAATTACATAAAATAATAATTGTAGAGAGAGAAAAAAGTATTCAATGACGTAGTAACGTCTAATCCATTTTGATTAAAAAAAATTGAGAAAAGAGGTTTACCATCTTACCATTCAACTTATAGGATATCCCTCAGGTCTATATAATAGGATAAAATGTAAAGATAACGCTAAAAGGTCAAGGTGCGTTGGACGAGACTTCCGTTTACAGGATGTATAAGCAGTTATTTTTCTGTTTAGAACACTGGCAGAAAAGCAATGAGAATCAATCGATGTGATAGCTGTTTAGAATGATTTATAAGAGATTAATATTAAAAATTATAAACAAACTACTGATTATTATGTCTTTAAATAGAAAAAAAAGCAAAAGCATGTTGTTACATAAATCAATCGTTATTAAGTAACGTATATACTTATATATACATAAAACATAAGATTTTAATAGGTCAATAATTTAATAGGCGTTTTCCACAATGAAAAAATTTAGAAAAGGAAATTTATCAAGCTGTTTCATCTATTACAATAAATGAGAAAGCAAAATTTTGTTGAATTATTTTTATCTTATAGGTTTCGCAATTCTATACATGTTGTGGACCATACCTCGTTGGCTTCCATGGCATACGCAAGGAATACTCGGGGCAATATTATCTTGGTGTCACTTGATAGGGGCAGTTAGTCCATGGATCGGATCCTTTATTTATCATGTTTTCATGAATGTTAATTATGACGAAGCCTTTTATAGATCGTTATTAAGACTCGACATGATCGGTATTTGGCTATGTCAAAGTTTCGGTAATTCATATCATATTAGAAGACTTACAATCTCGAACCAATTAATTTGATCTTTTTTCTCAATTAATTAAAAAGATAATAAATACTCGTTTTTATTTCAGGAGCTATTCCAATGCTGGCAGCGTCGGTTCATTGTTTACCTGATAATCACTGGTACTGCTGTATTTTTATTTACTGCTTTCTCAGTATATGGGGTCTTCTGAAGGTAATATATAAATGCTGTGATATTAATTGTATAGACATACGACGCATCAGAAAATCTCTAAATATTTTTTGGGATACATTTGTAGGCAATGCACGCGAGATCTCCGTGGGAAAGGAGACTATGTTTTGCACCTCCTTTCTTGATGAGAATGTTCATAATGACCATGAGGTGTTTCGGTATCGGTGGTGGTTCACCCAAAGCTTTAACTCATATCGTCTTACAGGTATCTCTATCGTATATTTTTTAATTATTCTTTAAAAAAAAATAAAAAAAAAAAAAAAAAAGAAAAAAATGTATATAAAAAAAAACGATTTTTGATTACAGAAATAATATTTGAATATTTTTGTGTAATTTAGGATTTAATAGCTGTAATAGGTGCAATTGTCGGTGCTCTTCGTATTCCCGAAAAATGGATGCCAGGAAAATTAGATTTCATGTTGAATTCTCACAATCTGATGCACGTGTTGGTCGTTCTAGCTGTTTGTTCGATGCATACAGCCACTATCGAGGATCTCACTTGGATGGCTGATCAATCCACGTGTAATGAAACAAATACTTTTTCGATGATAAACGAAGAATTGTGATCGATTTGTAATAACGTCATTTTGCAATAGTCTGTGATAAGATACAGCTGATAAATTGTTCAATGCAATTGTATAAGGAGCTAAGAATGCTGAAATGTTTCATGATCGATACATACGTGGTTCAAAAGTAAGAAGCTAATTTTAAAGCTGTTTGATAATATGGATCATATGAACAGGATGTTCGAAGTACAAGTGCAAGTACAAAGATATATGTATATTATATATATTATGCGATATATAATATATATTGTTTCGGTATCGATAGTGAATGTGGTGGCTTTATGTAATATATATATATATATATATATATATATATATATATATATATATATATATATATTACATGAGTATCCAAATTCATGTTAATATATGACTTCGAAGTCGAATCACGCAGCAGGATTGCGGATTTAATAAGAAAAGGAAGAGTCTGTTAAGACGATATGTTTTCTAAGTAAAATAGGCATTCTAAGCACATCAAAAATATGTTTATTATATGGTTGTAATTATGGATATCATCACCTACCAATGTCTCCAAGACGTTTCCAATTTCTCATTTCTATAAATTCTTACACTTTACTATACCAAATCCGATATTTAGAGAAATAAAATTGTTCAAAAATATGGACGTTCATTAAATTCCATCATCGCTCAATTATATACAGTACTATAGTCTTTTTCGACTTGAATTCTTTTTTAATGATCTTAATTTAAAACAATATTAATAGTCACATAGTAGATGTAGACCAGGCCAACAAATAGATCTTTCAACTTGTTTGACATCTATTAAGTAATTAGCTTTCGTGTAATATAGAGTTAATTGATGTATATTAATACTTTTATGATTTCTTCTTTTTACGTGTACTTTGATTGAAAGTATATTGCAAGTTAGTTCACTTATATATTATTTTTAGCGATCGCATGATATATAAAGATTTTGAATCAAATATTATATACATATATAAATGTACCATGCGTTCACTATCAAAATTAAATTCTAACAACTATTTAGCGAAATAGACCGTACGTATAATTATTTTGAGATGAAATTAAAATGATACAACATTTCACATATAAGCACCTACTTTTAAAAGCACATAAGGCACCATATATGTGCTTAAAGCAATAATAAATTACAATGAAAAGTTATGTATAGGTATATGAATATATATATATACTTAATGAAAAATAACACTATTAAAATCAATAAAGATAAAGATTATTTTTACATCTACAATATTCAAATATCATGAAACTTTAAAAACATCGCTAATCGATAGTTAGATAGCAATCTGTGTAGCCTTACTACTGCTTTTCTGTAACTGAAGGTTTATGTTCTGAATACACGTAACAAAGTGATTATATCACGTGACAATATGTCACAGGGCACATTTTCCTTTTTAAAGATTTTAAAGATTTTAAATAATAATATTTCAACGAACATTTGTGTAGAAGAAATTTGTAATTTTTAAATTTTTCTTTTGTTATTCTTATGTTCTTTAAATTTTTATCAATATAATCTTCTTACCAAATCTGATTCTCAAGCAATTTTTATTACTGCAATGGAGCCTCACTTTCCTGAGTATAACTCTTAACTCTGCTAAACCTGAATGGTGGGTACCGTCCGCTAAGATTCATAGTATTTACGCATGGTTCCTGCCCATTTCTATATCTAGTAAATATATTATATCTTAGCCATGACAGTTGTGAATTAATCCTTCTATGATGATTTTGAATTTCGAATTCCTAAAAGAAAATGTTGTTTTACTTATTACTTAACAATTTTCATTACCAAGAAATATACTGCATGAGCTGTAAAAAAAAAAAAAAGAGAAACTTACAACATGAAATGTTTGTTCTCCGCTATCATGTACCGTCTCTCTTTGTCTCCTTCTACGACATGTATTATTATTTCCCTTATTAGTATCCTGTCTTTTGAGTACCAATGTAACGAAATTATCACATAATCTATAGTGTCCTATCAATGCTGAAGAATTTCGTGGGATACGATTTTTTAAACAATTAACAGAGGTTTGTGCTTCATCTGTAGATGTCAGCATTAGGACTCTTCCTTCGGGAAAAAATCTATGTATTGAAACGAATATTAAATGTGGAAAGTATTCAATAATAATTCATAAAGATCATCAATAACTCACTATCAATTTACCTCAGGTACCTGAAGTATTCAACCAAATGCCAATGTTTATAAAATTGATCTTGAAAACTGTTTTCTCCATGACGAATGTAACTTGTTTTACTGATGTAACACCCATTATATCTTAATCTAGGCCGTTGTACATACATGTCCCTCCATGATTGATATTTTGGTTCATAAGTTCCACAATTTACACCCCATACCCTAAAAATTGACAAAAAATAAAAAAAAATAAAAAAGAATCATATTATAAATATTACATAAAGATAAAACTACTTGATGTTTTTTATTTACCTGATACAAGCAAGTCTCCATATTTCTGGATCTCTTGCAGATATATAAAATCCGCGACATACTCTAGAGAACATTTCAAGTGACCTCAAATCAAGTTCTGAAGAAACAACCCATCGTAAAATGTAAAGTATTATTTCCATTGGTAAAGCAGATATATGTGTTGCCTGGAAGAAAAAAATATCAAAATGTAGATAATATTCTTCATGATTTCATTGACAAAATTTCAATATTTATAAACGAAATACTCACACTTTGTTCAAATTTTCGAAAACAAACACATTGATTGCGGTTAACAATTCTAGATAATTTAACAGATAGATCAGATTCATCTTCAGTATCTTCTTCCTCATCTTTGTTATCGTCATCCGCATTATGTGCATCATTATCAATACTTCCAAGATTATCATCCGATTCAAATCTTTCTCGTGACTTTATTTTTGTTGATTCGTACAAATGAAATTCAATGTCAGGGACTAATTGTACAGCACGCTTATAAAATTGAATTGCTTCATATAATTGCCCGCTTTGTTCGTGTTCTACACCTTTAAGGAACAAATTCTTTGCCTACAAAAAAATGATATAGGTTGATTTTCAAGCTGAAAAATATTACCATCTTATTAAACATGTATTCTACGTACTTTATTTTCAACAGATTGTGAATCATCCTTAGATACTTCTGTACTAACAGATCGAGTAGATTGTGTTTTGGATATATCTCGTTTTGGTGATATTTCCAGTTCACGTTGCCATTGCTCTCTGAATGATGTTAATGCATCTTCAACATTTTGATCCTTTAAAAAAGAAGATGCTTCTTGATCATCTCCACCATCATCCGAATCATTACTCGCACCACCAATGTTACTCTATCAAAATATGAAAAAAAAATCAAATAATTAACAACAATGATAACAATGATAATATCGCACGATACTATTATGCTCCTAGGCAATGTAGAATGAACATTTAAAAGATATATAGGTTATGTTGATTGTCACAACGGTGAATCTGCGAAATGTACAGTTACAATTTAACGTCAACTCAAATAAAGAATGTCATTTTTACCATTGTTTATTCTTATTCAATTTCTGTAATATTTCTTCTTCAACGCTTGAATTCTCGATCAGAAAAGCGTACAACACAGCGAAAGTACAATTTCGCGAGAGCAATCGCCGCCATGGTTTTCATCTGCCTACTATTACTTTTTTTTTTTTTTTCGTATGCTCTCATAATGTCATCCTATCTCTTTCGCGCGTGTTCTTTGGCTGTCTCTCTTTCTCTTGCTTTCTCGCACTGAAGTGATGCAATAGTAATGATTATTAAGAGTAAAGTTAAAAAATGTATCGTTTATTCAAGAATATTTAAAAAAAAACATGATATGTCAATACTTTTAATGATATCTTATATAAAATACGGTATTGAATAACATTACTGTATATATTACTACGTCCTTTATTAAAAATGTAATCTATTATACAAACTATACAATACAATGCAATTATTTATAATTTATCCAGTTCAAAATCACATGTTTTCATTAATTATTTAATTCAATAAGACATTTTTAACTGCTATTATTGTGCGAAGTTATTACAAAAGTTGTCTCTATTCTAAGAATAATTTTATACAATTTTTTTTTTATTTTGTTTAACATGTTTATCTCTTTTTAATTTAATATCAAACTCTTGCAATATTACATATAACACTTGATTTGTTGAATTGACTATTTAGTTAAAACAATGTTAATGCATTCTAATGTCAATTATGGAAGAGATCTTTAATTAGCAATATTAACACTAATACAAACTGCATGAAATCTGAATAATTACTTATCATTATACACGATTAATATTGTCATAATATTATAAATGTAAATTTTTTTATCAAAATCCACTTTATTTCTACTTCTCATACGAATATAGAAATTTTTGATAATTTTAACAAGATTATTTGGATTAGCATAATGAACTAAATATATCAAAAAAGAGTATGCAGTTTGTATAATTAGATCTCATCAAAGTATTATTATTACACGACAATCTCACTCTATATTTCCTTTTGGCTATTTATCTTCAGACGTTTGATCATAACCTTTACATATTTGTAAATATTACTCAGCTAAATTTCGTGTAAAAATGCTAATTTAATAACCAACCTTATCCTATAAATTTTGCATACAATTGATATTCAGCTTTGGCTTCGATAAATATCCTATTAGTATAATTACTGCATAAGAAATAAATATAAAACATATTTTACAAATTCAACAATGTCTTAATTAAATAACACAAATTAGATATATTCAAATATATATATATATATATGTATGTATATGTGTGTGTGTATGTATATATATATATATATATATACACATATATATACACACACAATCTCTCTTGTGCGAAAATAATCTGTTATATATATGTAAATCTTAATGTATGTACCTAAATTCATAAATAATAATAATAGCGATGTTACATAAATATTATTATTATATAAAGCTCATGGCCTTTATATACTTCTAAAATAAATATAAATTTAAGATTTTATGTTTATGTTCCACGCATATATAATTTTTGTGAGGTACATATTTTATATGTACATCATAATTAACTACATCTGTTTGCACATATTGCATTCTACTCATTTTTACATATTACTGTTTGAAATTTCAGAAATTGGTATATGAAAAATTTATAATAAATAACTTCACATATTTAACAAATAATATGTTACAATGTATCATTTACATTATGTTCAGATGTTACAATATTGTAAATGATATAACAAAGTAATTTTGTTATACATTTCTTTCAATACTATGAGAATCCATAGTCATTTTCTTTATCTAACATATAATGTGGTTATATGTAAAAACTGTTAAAATACAATTTTTATTGCAATATAAAAAAAATTATGAAGCCTCGTATAATGCATATAGAATTCGGTAGATTACAAGATATGTAACAGTCGATTGAAAACATGAAAAGCATTATCAAAACATATATATATATATATATATATATATATATATATATATATATATATATATATATATGTATATATATGTATGTATATATATATATGTATATATATATATGTATATATATATATATATATAATATATACATACATATATAATCAATTAAATATTCTGCTTTGGAACTTAACTAAATAGCATCCTGGGCTAATATTAATCTCAAACGAAAAATTTTATAAAGTTAAATTTAATAAATTTTTTAAAGAAGTTATGTAATTAGTATTATAACAAATTAATTACAGTTAAGATTTTTTGAGCACGCCTTAGTACAGTTCCCTTGCTTTTGAGAATCGCTATCCTCATCACTGCAGTCTTCATCATGCGTATGTGTTACATTGCGTGGTGTTTCAGGCCTTGCATGTGGAATTTGACTATTTAAGTGATCCACATACATAGCTTTCTACAAAAGAAAAATCAATTTAAAATATAGTAATCATTTTTTTATAGGATTATATATAATTTAACATTTTAATACTTACAGCAGTCAGTCGATTTTGTTCTTCTTCTTCTTCTGAAAGTTTAAATGTTCTTGATCGACTGATCATGGGTGTTTCCATAACAAATCTTTGTTCATGAGCAACTGTACTCTCGTGTGGCATCTTAAAATGATAAAAAATAGTCGTATTTTGAAAAATTATAAGTTTTAATATATTTAAATAAAAAAATATTTGAATAATACTTACCAGCATAGCAGGTGCTCTGAACATATATGAGAATGGATAATAAATCAAATTAAGGAAAGTGGCAGCATACAAATCTGCATACCTCACTACTTGACTACTGAAAAATGTCTGCCTACTTCCGCTACGAAATAATGATCCCATCATACCATATGCTAAATCCATTTTGTGCGTGACATCTCTTATGGAAGCTCGAAGTTTAGATATATCTGGCTTTTCCTTTGTGCTACTATCCAAGTTTCTAAAGAAAAAGTATATGTACAATTATTATATATGTAAAATATATGCCAAATTACTTAAAAATATCATATTTACTTAAAACTATTATATCTTTGTAGATAAATCTTATTTTAATTTATATAGTTAGAAAAAGTAATCATATTTACTTGTACATCTCTCCTAGCATTACATCCAAATTTTGTAATTCTGCGAACAATTGACATTTGTCTGTCCATACATGTAATTCCTGAACTAATTCTGGCACTATTAAAAATGTCCTCCATCCTCTAATTTTTTTACTCTTCAAAATATCACCAAATATATGATCTCCGACGTACAATACATCTTTACCTTTCGCGCCGATTAATTCTGTGAAAACATCGCACGATCCTCCTGAATAGACTTCACCTATAATAGAAAACATTTAATATATTGTATATTATCATAAATTACATTTGATTGTATCATAACAAACACAATTCAGCTTACCTGTATGAAGAGGGCCTTTATGTGTTCCAAGTTTTAAAGCACCAGTTTTAGTATCTACCTGTCGCAAGATTGTACCTTCTCCAAAAAATAATGGCTTTCTGGCGTCAACAACAATAGTATCAAAATATGTTTTCCAATTTCGATGTGGTTCGTCAGGCTAAGAAAACATATTAAAGAAATTGATAATTACTTTTTTTTCTTTTTTTTTTTTTTTTTTTTATTTAATATAAACAATAGAGATAACATACCCTTGCACCATGTGAAAAATCAAACAAATAGGTCATTATTTTATCGGTAAAAACATAATCACTATTTGTTAGCAAAAATAGTTTTGCACCGCTTTCTCTAATACGTGTAAGAAACATTGGAAGCCGTTCATCTTTTTTGACATATTCGTCCAAGTTTTCTATAGTCTTACTTTTTAAATTTCCATGCAAGTGAATCCAGTCAACGGCATTTCTTACATCTTGGAAAATGCTTTTAAAACTCATAGTAAGTTCACCTTCTTTAACTCCAGTCTTTTCTCTAGTATATTGCGGAGAATTCGTGAAGAAATCTATGAGGCATGCTAATAGATAAGTCTCTGGTAAATTGAACAGTGTATTCAAAACATAGACTCTTGATTCGTCTAGTTGTAAAAACTTATTTGGATAGAGTTCATAAACCTGAGAGCTAAAAGATCATACAAAAAAAAATTAATTATAATAATCATAATAATGGCAAATGTTAATAATATTACTGTTTTAAATGTTAATAAACTCACTGTTTTAAAAATTCAAATCCATGTACACAGACTAAAATATTCCCATAGGCATCAACCTTCAATAGGTTTCCGTAAAGAGTATCAAACCATAGGCCTCGTACCGGAAAACTAGGATCATATTCAAATGCTTTAATTTCTTGTGGATATCCCAAAGACACTAAACGATCTTTTAAGAGATTAAATCCAAGCTGCTCATATTGCGGAGATTTATATTCTAAAAGAATACAATTATTCTGTGAACCCCCTATTTCTTATTTATTTCTTTTTTTCTTCTTTTAAATAATTAAACATACTAACCCGCCAGTGTATAATCCATGTCAAATCCATAAAATTTAATATTTTCTAAATGAAGACTACGGTTAACAAAAATCCTGTAACAAAGAAATTATTTTTAGATTATTTAATTGACTAATTCATTATTGTTTTTACTTTTATTACTTATTGTTGGCGTTATTATTATTATTATTATTACTATTATTATTATTATTATTAATATTATTATTATCATTATCATTATCATTATCATCATCATTATCATCATTTTGTTAATATCATTCTCGTTAATGTATATATTCATTTTTCTGACCTATTCGCAGCAATTTTTCTAGCCATCATGCTAATAGTTCCCATATTCTCTACGTCATATGATGGATCAGCTTGAATCATTTGTGGATATCTAGTAAAATCAGAATCGCTCATTTTTTGTGATATTTTAACATTAGTACTTATACTCCCCATGTTTAGAGTATCGTTAAATATTGTAATATATTTAACAATAAATAGATTTTATACGAACGAGAATGATACGATTAAGTTTAGAGTTCAATGATATCATTGAAAATTTGTCATTATAAATTTATCGAAATTTATATTATTTCATTCATTTATTTCTCATGGACTTCTATAATCAGCTTTGTGATTAAAAGATGCATTTGTTTTTGAGGATCTTTACAAAACAAATTTTGTTAACGAATAATTCTAACGGGTGACTTACTCATTTTGAATATGTCGTCCATGATTAGAAGTACCTGTCGTTGGTACCGAATATTCGTTTATACCTTCTAACCACATTTTTCACGATATCATATCAATGTTTCATTCTCGCTGTTAAATCAGTTTTATACGACGATTAATTTAAATTAAAATTATTCTCTCGAAAAATTTCCCGGTAAAAGAAAAAAAGAAAGAAGAAAAAAAAAGGAAAAAAAAAAGAAAGGAAAGAAGCCATGCAACGAATAATTTTATTATTGGTCAATTTCGAAGATTTCAGAGATTCAAAGGTTAGAATAATTGAATCGTTTAGATTGCATATCAATTTATTTTCTCGCTTTCGTTAATTATATATATATATATATATATATATATATATATATATATATTTGAAATTCTATTATTTTTATTTCTTTTCTATATATAAATGAAAAACGAAAAAAATATTCTCATGAATCATTCTCTTATTAATAAATTTTGTATAATAAAATATCAACAATACGAACGATTACATACACACACTCACTTACATATACAATCACATCTAAACACGAACAATTTTTAAATTAATCGCAAGATTTTCAAATGGATATAAAAATGATAATATTTATTTCATTATTATAAGAATAAAAGATAAATCGGGAAATCTTTATTGAAACAACACAAACTTTATCTATAAAACTTTCTATGATATTATCGTACTCGATCAAGTTCGATCAATGCGAATAAAAAGAAACTATCAGTTACTTTAGATATTTAGATAACAACCGAACCAGTTGTTATATTGGAAATTTACAATAACAAAACGCACAATGCCGTATACATCATACATCTTTCGTGTCAATGGACCAATGTGAGGACAAGGTTAAACGAATTATATAATGAAGCTCTTTGTCATCATTTAGAGATCATACAAAAAAAAGAGAATATCATTAATGAGAAAGAAGCGCGACCGAAGGACGTGGATTCTTAAAGACATTGTAAAAATAGAAACCTGTAAGAATAAAAACGACTATAGAAAGAAAGAAAAAAAAAATAAATAAATAAAAAGAAACAAAAGAAAGAGAAGAAAAAAAAATCGTTTCCTAAAAATCAATATGTCAAAGATGAAAGAGAGAGACAACAATTGTCCTCACATATTTTCAAATTACTTTCCGAATGTCTAGCCTTCATCTCGAATGAAGATAAGATCTACTTATTTAAAAAAGTTTTCGCATAAAATTGCATTGCTTTTTAATCTTCATCGCGATACGCCACGTGTTACACTACGTTAATACACAGGAAATGTCAATTTATTCCGTTCTCCGCTGCGTTCCAACGTTTATCATGATTACAATGAAAGAAAAGGAAATAAAAAAGGAAAAGGAGAAAAAAGAGGAAAAATACAAGAAAGAAGATAATTACCGTCTAGACAAAGGAAAAAAGAAAGAAAAAATAAAAAATGAAAGAAAAAGAAAAGGAAAAAAAAATACAATAACAATAACCTAATCCAAAACGACAATGACATTTCAATGGAATGCCGAATAAATGAATTTCGTGTTATTTCTATACTTCATTCAAGAGTTATCCTGAAAAGAAAGTTACGAAGCATATATATATACATACATACATGCATACTAAATAAAGTTTAAAATTTCATTAACAGAATAGAAATATTATATAATATTATATTATATATAAAAAAAGGGAAAGAAGAAGAGGATAAAAAAAAAGACAAATAAGAAATTAAAATGCACGTTTAAAGTTTCTCCTACGTTATCAGTTGATCGAATACCATGTTTAAAAGATAAATCCCGACACTCGTGTCGACACTACGCACATACAGAGTACTGACGATTCAAGGAGATTTTTCTTATTCGCGTGGGATTTAAAACCGCAATGAATCGAAATGAATGACACGCACAAACGATGTACGCAAGTATATACGTCGTTGCAAAGAAACGAAGAACGTGTACTCTGTTCGATGATCAAACCTCGACTGATTCCCTCTGGCTTCGACAAAGCAGTTAATAACATATAACGACGAAACTTAATTCATCGTCTTCCGGATACAAACTTTTCTTTCATTCTCCAATCAAAAGCTCTTCGTGTTACTCTTCGTGTTTCTTACACATGCATGCATATATATATATATATATATATATATATATATAGAGAGAGAGAGAGAGAGAGAGAACATACACCCATATCATATCCGTTTTTCCCCCATTGGCCTTGGAAAAATTTCCAACCCATATCTAACCTATATATATTATTGAAAACGATATCAGATCAATAATAGTTTCAAAAATAGTATATAAACTATTGTTCGAAAAGAATTTTTTTTTTCTTTTTATATATTCATTTGAATATCCTTTCTGAAAATTCATTTTTAAGGCGATAAAAAATCCTCGTTTAATATCGTATGTTTATCTATATAATTTAAAAAAAATGATTTCTATCGATTCAAACGAATAATTTATTCGTTCGCATGTATTCTAATATATTATTATTTTATTATTATTATTACTACTATTCAATTTCTTTTTGAAATATTATCTATCATTAGATCGTAACGATATATAACGATACTCTAACATTTAGAGAGAGTTTATAATGTATAAATAAAATAATAAAGGAAGATATAAGTCAAATAATGTTCACATTTCAACGAGCTTTCGATAGTTCTCTCATTATTCAATAAGAGAAGTTAGATGGTACGATAATGTAAATTTGCGTAAATATATTATGAAATAATAACTTTACATTTTAACGATATGATTTACTTGTAAACCGGCCAAACTAAACTCTCTTCGACATTTTATTCTGAATGAAATTTTACGAACAATGCTCCTGGCAATTATAATATATAACGAAAATACATTTTTTTTTTATTTTTATTTATGTTTACTATTAAAAATAAATTTCTTATCGTAAAATGATATCTATTTTTTATGAACGACAGTCATAAATGATAAACTTCGCAGATAATAATCTTTCTTTGGAATATTTATTAAACATGAATTGTATGTGTATATCCACCTATATACATATCCATATGTACATCTATATGTATATATGTACGTCAGATAAATTACAAGAAAATTTGTTTAAAAAAATTTACACGGTTTGAAATCAACTACAAAGTGCATATAAACGTATTTACTTTTTTTTTAACTCGTGACTTCTTCGAATTATAAAGGTTAATGATTTTTTTATGAATACCTATATCTTCTTTTTGCATATTTATATAATAAGGTTCATTTGCAATCAAAATCATATCAAGTAAAAAATTGCTATTATGTATTATTAACAAAATAATCGACATCTTAATGACTAACAAATCCATTTTTTTTTCAGATCATGCAATCGTGTATTTTGAAAAGTTCAAGATCAATGATACTGTTCGATATAATCGATTTCAAAATATTACGTAATCTAATAATTATTTTATCAAATTGTTCTATGGAAACTCAACTATTTTAATACTTAAGACAGTACAAATGTGACTATTATTATATAAATATTAAAAAAAAAAAATTATAGATATCCATTGAAAGAAAAAGAAAAAAGAAGATATTGATCTTCGTAACTCAAAAAGATGAGGAGTAAAAAAGAAACATTTTTTACATGTACTTTGTAAATGCCTCAAGAGCCATGTAAATTTCTATTATTAAAATTTCTTCTAATTTCAATTAGTTCCAAGATATCTTCTCGGTCATATACGGACGAACACCCTATATATGTTTGTTTCATAAAATTCTTGCGATATATGTGTTTTCACAAATGATCATCCTTTTTCCTTTGTTTCTTAATCTAACTATTCGAGTCCTGCCGCGGTTGGTCACACGTGATTGACTGACCGCACGAAAAATTGTTCTTTCCCGATAAACGTATTCATTTTACAAAAGAAGAAAAAAAAGAAAAAAGTAAAAAATTAGAAAGTGAGAGTCGTTAACTTCATAGCACCATTTCATGTTTAATAATAATCTTTAGAATGGCTTTCATTCCCGGTAGACCTTGAAAGTCTCTTTAATTACTATACTACAATGAGAGCACCTACGCCTTGAACGTGCTAGTTTGAGATATCGACTTTTCGTTAAGTCGGTCAAGTACCACTATAAAAGAGGATGCAAGACTAGTTCATGTCACGAATGAAAGTTATGCACTTTCGCAGCGGCTCACAAAATTTATTTATTGTTCTTTTCTTTCTTCCTATCTCTTTTTAAAATAATACTTGTATATAATATGCCAAAAAAAGTTTCTGAGTGGTTTCGAAAAATCAATAATTTTTTTCTGACAATTTTTTATAAGCTAATTTTTTTCAGATTACATAATTACGAACTTAGGAATTTTTTTACAATCTGAAAAAAAAAGAATTAGCCTAAACAGTCCCGAAAAAAAATTAATTGATTTTTAAAATCACTCACGAACTTTTGACCTATCTTCTGTATACATGTGCACGTATCTCTCTGTGTGTGCGTATGTGTATGTATACAACTTTTTCATTATTATCAACACGCTTATCTTCCTTGATTATAATAACTCTCATCGATCCTTACACGTTATAATTACATGTTTCTTGTTCCATAGAATACTTAATATTTTGTTCTTCAGTCGAGATATGGTAATTATTTTATTTTTTTATTTATCATTGATGAAAGTCGAAAGGAAGAAAAGAAAACAATTTCGCTCAACAAGATTACTTTATCCAAATATTATTCTGACTCGAAGTTTACAAACGAAGGACAAAACTGATAAAAGAGTTTTATAAATGAAATACTAAGTAAAAGAAATATGACATCTAACTTGTAAAAGGTACATATAATTCGATCGAAAGTTTCGAAAAATGAACTTCGAAAAAGTACATAAACTTTATCTCTCGTTCTTTTCGAAAACTTATTTATTTAATTTATTGAGAAATATCACGAGGGAATGATGATGAAATCAGAAGTAAAAGTTACAAACGGTAATTTGTTATTTATTGACCATTGGAGAAACTTCTGTATATTGGTTTTCTTATTATCAAATATTTTTGGAAAGTTTTATTATTTCATCGAATATCGAAACGGAATAGGAAGATAGAAACAGAACTGTTTTAACGATCTTGGAATGAATGCAACATATTCTAAATATAAAGCGTATAATTTAATTCGAATGGATCGTCAATGTCATCTTGAATATTTCTTCGTTAGTAAACATGAACTGGTCCACGTCGCGTTGCGGAGATGGTTAAAGTTCTATAAAAAAGGAAAAATGAGAAGAAAAACGAGAGAAGGAAGTCGTTGGCTCGAATCGTAAGTACCAAAATCAATCGTGAGAACCAAAATCATCTCTATGATTATACATGGAACGACATGATCACCGCAACGCCATTCAAGGCCGTTCCAAGAAAGGTGATTCGTCATATGACCGTGGACAGTGACACGTTAACGAACGTTTTAGAAATTTCAATTTAGCTTTTAACACATAAGAAAGGGAAAAAGATAAAATTAAACGAAGTTAACAATAATATTGATCATATTAAAATTGAACGACATGATCTAAAGATTGATGATTGAAAAATTTTGATTTCATCATTCGCAAATTACATCATGCTTCTTATCGAAATTTATACGGAAATAAATGATAACAGACAGAACACACACACACACACACATATATGTGTATATATTTATACTCTCGTTTCGTTGAAATTTTCTCGTGACAAAGATCGTATTGGATGAAGGAAAATAATAAAAAGTGAAAAGACAAAGCAATGAACACGGACTAAATTGAAACTTTAAGAAAACATAAATATCACTAGAGAACGATGGATTAGTTTAGAGAAAGAATCGAGAATGATTATTAACTAAAACGCGAAGCACATGCAATGCGTCTTCGCACTAAAGTGACGGACTCTTGGCGAAAGAACAAGATTCAACGAGTAAACGTAGCATTAAGAATCCTTCGTATTTGGCTTAACTTTTTGATTTCATCGTATAATCCTTTTAATCTTATACCCCTTGTTAAATATCTTCGTGAACACGACGGTGGCCTTATGCCATTTGGCGACAAAAGAACGCAAATTTGTAAACGTCATCTCACTAATCTTCTTAATAAATCACGATTTTCGACGATGATTGATGTGCTAGCTTTTATCAACTAGTCGATAAAAGAACTCTCAGGCGACTATGCGTTATATTCAGTTCTCGTAATAACATTGCTGGAAGAACCATGATAATGTGCGTAAGCGAAAGTAACGACTGTTAAAGAAAAAAAAAAAATATATATATATATATATATAGCATTGATTTCGAACGTAATGAACTCGAATACAAATATTATATTATTATCGTATGAAAATTTCATTAACTTTAAATCTCGATCAAATTTTGGATTATACAAAATTATATAAAGGACAAAAAGAATTATGCATTTTTTTTCTCATGTATATTAAAACAAACTCTAACTTCGATATTATTTATTATTATTTTTTTTTCTTTTTATTTTCTCCCATTTTTAATTCATTTTTCACATGGAATATGTTAATTGATATTTTAAAAATTTCATTGTGTTTTTCGCATCTCGTTCGACCTTTCATCTTTTTTAGTATCCTTTTTCACGTTATTTGCCATTCAGAAAACGTACTGATTGACCTTTACCTGTGACCTAGTTCCCTCTTATGACTCCATATCCTATGCACTCCTTCCTTACAACTATCCAGATCATTCTCATTACAATCATTTCTGCTCAAATCGATTCTTTCGTGAGATAAATTAAAACCAAGTATGTTCCTGTTAAGTAATTCCTCCGGGAAAACTGTCTCATCTTGAGGAAATTGTATTCTTCGGCCTACTCCACAAAATTATTTTCATTTGTAATGAGGCTTCGTGTGTGCGTGTATATATATATATATATAGTAACATATTTTGGTGTGTGTGTATACAAACACAAAAACATGTCTTCTGTTTTTTGAATATATAATTACCAAGACAACATGACGATGTAATCACTAAATCAACGTTTTGGTGATTCATAATACAATATGATGACACAAATTATTTACTCCACGTAAAAAAGAACAATGATGAAAGATAACAAAGTAACACAGATTTGTGTGACCAAATTCTAAATCCTTTTCAGGAATGAAAATTTCACTGTTGATCTGATCGGTTGAACAAACGACTAAATAATGAGTATTGATGATCGAGAATGTCAGATAAATTTTCCAAATGAACGAACAAACAAGTGGAAGACTATAAATGTAAATAAGTGATTGTGATAAGCAGACTCTTTATGGATCGCCAAAGGTCATTTGTATGATGATAAAAAAGAAAGAATGATGAAGAAGAAGAAGAAGAAGAAGAAGACGACGAAAGAAAAAAGGAAAAAAACGACGACTTATGACAAATATCAAAGACAGTGCTTCTTATTTTCGTAAATCAATGAAAATAAAAACAAGAATGATTGTCCAAAGACAGATGAGATTAGATGTATTATACATACATATACATATACATATACACATATATATATATTTTTCATTATTATTATTATTATTATTATTATTATTATTATTATTATTATTGTTGTTGTTATTATTATTATATAATTATAATTATAATTATATTATATATATAAGTAGATATATGTAATATGAAGTATATATATAAAAATATATTTTTTATTATATAATTATGATTATGATTATGATTATGATTATATAATAAATATATATAATCATATTTAAATAATTACAAGTACAAACGCGCGAACGCGCGTTTCTTACTACAGTATCTCAATTTCTACGAATAAATCAATGCGAATGATTTCTCACGGAATTTTTTCTTTTTTCGTTAATTCTCAAAGTCTTTCACGTGAAGAAAAATTTCGATGATTCATTATTAGTGTCGAGTTATCATTCCTAAATGATCTTTATGTTTATTTCCAAGTACAAAACAATGATAATACAATCGTGTACGATCGTTTAATCGTACGTTTCTCGAGTAAAAATAGGAGAATAAGAAGCATGATTAAAATAACAATGATGAAAGAAAGATGGTTAGAATGTTTCCAAAAAAAAAAAAAAAGAAAAAGAAAAAAAAAGAGGAAAAAACGAAAATAATCGCAGACAATAATAGGATCTTTCATAAAACATAAACGTATTATAAATTTGTTTCATTTCGAGAATCTAGTTAGATTTTCGTTCTCTTTTCAACGAGTTATATGCTTTTCCAGAAATATCTTTGATCTGCTTCTCCTTCATGTTTCATGAAAGGGAGAGAAAGAGGCGAGGAAGAGGGAGAAAGAAAGAGGGAGAGAGAGAGAAACAAAAAGAGAAATAGATAGATAGACAGACAGACAGGGAGGGAGGGAGGTAGGGATGGAGGGAGGTAGGTAGGTAGGTAGGCAAGTAGACAGGCAGACAGACAGGTAGATAGAAATGGAAAGAGAAAGAGCGAGAGCAAGAGAGAGTGTGTGTGTGTATGACAAAGAAAGAGAGAAAAAGAGGAAATCTTTAGTGAACGGTACCACACAAAATATCAAATTATGTAATCGATAAAGATCAAATCTACCAAAAATCAAATTACTACTACAGGATGAATAATACATCAATAGATTATCCAGATTATTCACCTATGTGGATAATAACGACGATAAAACGAAAAAGTAAATAAATAAAAAAAAAAATAAAAAAAAAAATTTTGCACATGTATCGAACGTTTATTTATAGTTGAATCTTTCTATTCCCTCTCCTCCCTCGAACCGCTAATCATGTTCGTCAACGACCATGAATTTAACTGTACGACCATGACCTAACTTTACTTCCTTGTTTTTGAATTTTTTAACTGCGTCATATGTTGTGTATATGTATATGTATGTGTATGTGGACGCGCGCGTCACTTTAATCATTAAAATATAGTAGCACGCTCGCGCACGAGTATACAAAGATGCAATGCAGCAAGTTTGGATCACGTCATGGCATACTTTCTTTATTCTTTCGTAACTTCTCACGTTATTATCGACGATTCGAAGATAAAATATCTTTTGAGTAGCATTCGACTCGTTCGTTACTCCCATCATGAATAATATTTATTAGTCAGTTCGTAGCTCACAATAGAATATAAGAGAAGAGAGAAAAAAGAAAGAAAAGAAAAGAGAAGAAAAAAAAAGACAAATATAAGACGGTATATTTTCGATGTGACATTAAGAGACACGATTATAATGAAACTTTCTAATGGAATTATTTACTAACCTTTGACTAGCTTGCCGGTACCATTTCTTATGCCCTGTAGGATCATTATCATTTTGCGGTGTCGATGGGGATACGTTTCCATGATCACCATGCGAATTACAGTTCTCCAATTCCATGATTAACTGTAAAAATATTAAGAAACAAAAAATAACGTGTTCGTTGACAAACTTTCCCTTTCTCAAAGTTATATTATTTTGTCAACGAACAATAAACATATTTTTATTATATTGACTTTTTAATTCATCGAGAATTAATTGTTCTTAATATTATTTATAAGAATATTTTAAACAATTTATTTTGCAATAAGACGTAAAAAAGAGTTAGGTTAACTAGGCTGTTACAAAAGCTGCAACATTTCGCAATAGACGTTTACCAACGCGTCGTTTCTTCTTTTAGTACGAGTCAGATCGTACTTTTTATTTATTTATTTTTATTTTTTTTTATTTTTTTTTTTTTATTTTTTTTTTATTTTTGTTTTTTTTCATGAAAATCAATTCTATTGTGATCGTCAGTTATTATTACGAAATAATTTAGAATTTAATAATTGAAAATAATAGGAAATAACATATGTACTTGAAAACACGAGAATAACTAAGATCTCAATAATTGGACATTACTATCGGATGCAAAGTAGCAGGATTCTCGCAGATACTCGCTCATTCTGATTATACCGAACTTTGAATAAAACTTTTTTTTTTTATCATTATCACAATATCCCTTCTAAGTAAATATTTCCATAAATATTTATTTAAAAGAAATATCGTGATAATATATAAAATTCTATGAGACATGGTATCATATGTTATCGTTATGATGCGAAGATAGTAGATATATTGAAGGATAATAAAAAAAAAAAAAAGGAAAAGCAAGAAACGATTATCAATTCGATGAAAAACAAGAAATTAAACGAGGAAATGATTCTCTCTATTTTATCGTTATTTCCGTTCGCATAACGCTCGAAAATTCTACGAACAGCCATTTCTTTTGTTCTCGCTTCCAATGATAAATTGAATTAAAATTTGTACCTAGCAAGATCGTTAGTTTTACGTAGAATTTTTTGAAAAAAAGTACAGCGTAATTTAAAGAGTCTTCTTTGAAAACTTCTAAATAGAATTAATCGGGCGCCAATCTGTCATCGGTAGGTACATATATCAAAAAAAAACAACTCACAACCACACACTGTGCAGATTTGTCGCAGACTGAGGTCAATTCACTGAACTGCGTTGACCTCGGTGCAGGTATACCAATCGAACAGTCGAAAATGTTACTACATTGATTCATACATTCTAAATTTTAAGTACGCGCCAAATCTTATATATTATCCTCGTTTATCTGACAACGAAAGAAAAGAAGAGATAATATAAACATCTTTCGTAAAGAGAATCAAATTCACTTGGACGATGAAACAATTGGTCTTACATTTTTTTATTGACCAATGAGAATACGAGAATAATTTGATAAGTGTATATCATGGAATCTATACATAATTTCGATCGAAATCAATAATTTCGTATCGATAAATTCTAATGAATGATTTTTACGAATGACGATTTGATTGTCAATGATTTATTCTATAGAAGATCAATCGATGATTCATTGATAATTTCATTATATACATCTCATTCATATATTTAATTCAAATCATATACATATATATATATAGTATATTGGACGATCGATAAAGAATATCGTAGTGAATCTATGAGAAGAATTAAAATTACCAACGTAATATTTGCATGTGTATGATAGAAAAATTTTATATTTACGCGCGCAATTTGTTTTGAAATATACGCGCCATTTTTTGCGATTGTATATCATTGATCTCATAATAGAATTAACAAGATAGAAATGAATAATAGAGAATGATAGGAATAGGAGTATGTTTAAAAAAATTATATTAAAGAAGAAATAGACACGTTTAAGTATTGAATAAAGAAAAAGAAGGGAAAAATATAAGATAGGAAAAAAGATCAAATATAATTGAAATGCATTTTTCTTCGATCGATGTAAGCGATCGATATATATGATCGTGAAATGAAAAAGAAGATGGTATATACTGATGATAATATAATTATCAGAGAAATGATTTGCACCTGCCGGATAGTCGAAGCGCGGATAAGACGCGGATCACTTTGACTTGTCGAGGCGACGGACGACGAATTCGTCCGTAGCGCCGTGTGTAAACCGTCCGTCCGCCGTTGCCCGAACGCCAAAATCCGAGGTAAAAGCACGTACTTCGCAATTTTCGCAAACTTCCACGCGTCCGTAGTACTCATCGCGTTGAGCACAATTGGAACGTAGACTTCGACTCTCTTGTGCACGAGCAATTACGTTGCATCGTTTCTGTTGCGTAAAATTAATCCGATTTAGGTGACCTCGACGTAATATAACCTATAAATTCGTCTTGGACTATTGTCTCTGTCCGTCGTTTTGACAATCCTTTGGAAGCTTCCACGAGCGTGGGATATCGACACATGTAGTTCTTTTTTTTCAAAAATATATTTTCTTCTTATGATTATATATCTTCGAGGTCTTCTCGACATTCTCCACATATTATTTGGGAATGCTTTCTATCTATCGGGAGAGCGGGAACTTAACGTAACTTTGACTCTCTTGGGCTTGCGGCCCAACCCACTTTTTAAACGGTGATTTTTTCTTCTACGTCGACTCTTAATTCGTTTTATGAACGTATTATATTTTAAAAAGCGTCTCGTCGAGAAATCAACGAACTTTTTTCGCATGACAATTCGACAATCGAAATCCTTGCGTTACGACTCTTTTCATTCCTACTTCATTCTTCTCTCGATATTTCTCACAATTTAATATTTTATCCTTTAGGGACCCAATTAGTGCGATGACATAACATAACCTTCCTCTCCATGAGAGATAATGAAAGTGTGTGTGCGTGTATGTGTATAGAAAGAGAAAGAAAGAGAAATTTTTTAAGAACATTTTTCTTTTTTTTGTTTATTTATTTTTTTATTTATTTATTTGTTTATTTATTCGTTTATTTATTTGTAGTTACATATTAAAAAAATGCTATAATTTTGTAATATAAGTCGTGTGTGTGTTATCTCGTCTTTTATCATATGTTTCGTTAAATTTAATATTGCGTATTTATTATTGTTATTTCTGATATTCAGTGAGCAATATTTTTTCCGTCATATCTTTTATCTTATTTATAATGTAATTAATATTATTTTTATTTATATTTAAATAAATATTTATTTTTGTACTATACGAATATTGGCTTCGTTAAGTTAATCTATTATTTCTATTTTGTTACCGATTTCTTAATAAATCTTTTTTCCACATATTCCATTTGTGTTTTATTAGTCTTCTTTATTCATTTATATAGATAAAAATTGATATTTTATATATATTTTTAGATTTATAATACATTTTCTACAATAATTCTAGGATCTAACATTACACTGTAATAAATACTCATTCTATATTATTATTATTTATTGTCATTGAAACATTATTCTCTTTAATAAATGTTATATCTTTATTTATTTCTTTTAGATGTTAGATATATTATATTTATTCATTACATATCATTCAATATAGATTTGTTTTACATTAAATGAAGAATTAATTGTGGTGTATTATAAATATAGTTTTTTTGCACATATTTTTAAATTTATGTAAATATGATTAATGTTCAGTACACAATATTTGTTGATCATATTATAAGATAATAGTTATAAGTGAAATACAATTCTTTATAATATATCAATAATAATTCATTGCAATTTCTTTTAATAATTATCAAGCAATGGTGTACTAAGACATCGATCTACATAATATTTGCAAAGTAAGAGTATTAAGCCAGTCTGAAAAATGAATAATCAAGCGTTCAGTTTGGCAGAAAAGCTTATACCTTCTACGTATGTGCAACAAGGTTTAAATGCAAAGAAAACTCGCGAAAACCATATAAGACATTTTATTGAACATGTATGTATTACTTGTAGATACAAAATAATATATCGAATTATATATTTCTATACGTAAATAGAAATGTATGTTATAAATTTTTACAAAATATAGAGACAATGGCCAGAAGAGGGATGGGATGAAGCAACAATAGAAGCTTTTCTCTCTGATCTTTCGCAAATGGATAGCAACAATTTTCCTTCTAACTGTAGTGTCGGAGAACGTGAAGCAAGAATTGCATCAAGTATAGTAGCAAGAAGACATTTTCGCATGGGACATGGAATTGGTAGATCAGGTGATCTAGAAGAAGTACAACCAAAAGCTGCTGGTAGCAGTCTCATGTATAAATTGACAAATGCTTTGGTACTGGAAGTAATACGTTATATGGGTAAGAAAAGGAATATTTTCTGTATTATATTCTTTTATTTTTAGAAAAATTTAATTAAACATTTATACTTGTAGGCGTAAAAAGTATAGCTGGTTGTTTCTTATCTCCTATGGCTACAGGCATGAGTTTAGTACTATGTATGTTGACTCTCAAACAAGGTAGACCACGAGCAAAGTATGTTTTATGGCCTCGAATCGATCAAAAATCAAGTTTCAAGTCTATAATTACAGCAGGTTTAGAACCTGTAGTAATTGAAATGCAAATAGTTGGAGATGAATTAAAAACAGATATGCAAAGACTCGAAGCCCAGATGGTAGCTCTTGGAGAAAGTGTAGCCTGTGTACTTACAACAACAAGTTGCTTTGCACCTAGAGCATGTGATTCAGTTGATTTAATTGCAGTTTTGTGTACGCAATATAATATACCCCACTTAGTAAATAATGCTTATGGGTAAGAATTTAGCAATGTTCTTTTAACAGTTTCTAAATATTTCTAATACAGGTAAAAATTAGATAAATTTTACTATATTGTTAAAAGGTTACAGAGTACAAGGTGTATGCGTCTCATACAAGAAGCATCGCGTAAGGGTCGCGTTGATGCATTTGTTCAAAGTACAGATAAAAATTTTCTTGTACCCGTGGGTGGTGCAGTAATCGGATCATTTGATAAAAATCTTTTGGATCGTATATCAAAAATGTATCCAGGTCGTGCAAGTGCAAGTTCTACTATGGATGTTATGATAACATTGTTGAGCCTTGGAATAGCAGGTTATAAGCAACTTATTGCCGAGCGTAAAGAAATGTATTCTTATCTTAAAGAGGAACTTGGAAAATTAGCAGCAAGGCATGGAGAACGTTTATTAGATACAAAAGGAAATCCAATATCAATGGGGATGACATTACAATGTTTAAGTCATCAACATGATAATAAGCAAGTTACAACATTAGGATCAATGTTGTTCCTTCGTAATGTTAGTGGTACTAGAGTAATCACTACAACAGACTCTAAGCACATTGTTTCACACAAGTTTGAAGGTTATAATCATTATTATCACCTTTCTTTGTTCTTCATTGAACACTTGTATATATTTTGTAATCGTATTTTTAGGATGGGGAGCTCATAACAGTAATTATCCAGTACCATACCTAACTGTTGCTGCAGCTTTAGGTATGAAAAGATCAGATGTTGATGCATTTATACAAAGACTAGATAAAGCATTAACAAAAGTACGAAGACGTTCCGCTTCGGTAACACCAACAGCATCACTTGCTGGATCCAGTATTAATGGAGATGCTGGTGGTGCTGGTGGTCCAGGTGAATCCAGCACAGCTTCAACTAGCCGAGCAAGTAGTAAAGATAGTTTAAGAAAATGAACCGTAATCAACGCAACTGGTCAGTCAAATCAGCACATTAATATTAACTTGTAAGTAGTTCACTACTTACAATTAATAAATTTTTCATATCTCTGCATAATGACTCGTATCAAAACAATAATCTTTAACTTGATTATTAAAGTGCAGTATTTTTCTACATAATATCATTTAAAATTTACACATATGAATATAAAAAATCTTTTACTGTACTTTTATTTTTTTATACATCAATTAATAATTTCTATTTCTCTATGAAAAAATGTAATCATCTGAAATTAAAAAATTTTACTAAACTATTTTTATATTATAATAAAATATGACTCATGTCATTTAAAGCAAACGAATAAGATACAGTACATGTTGCAGAAGTATGGAATAAATAATGAGCTGATCTGTCTGCCCACTTGCGTTGTGATATTGTCAATTCCTATCTTAAGAGGCAAGGCAATTGGATGTTAAGTAAATGATATTAAGTGAATGTCAAAGTTAATGCAATGGAATCAAGAAATAAGAATACAACATTCTCTTAGTTATCTGTTACAATATATTCAATTATATATGCGCTGGCCGCAAAAATCATTATGAATTGTTTACAAATTTATATTTTTTGTGAAACAAAAATATGAAAATTGTTCTTGTGTGCATTTTACTTTTAGCTTATCATGTTGTAAGATATAATATTAAGTTTTACATTCTGTGTTGTATAAGTACTAGAACTTCTGTAGATGATTCATAACGCAAATAACAAACTATTATGTTGCCAAGACATAATTAGTCTTAATTAATAATATCTTTTGATCATATAGTATTAACATACAATTTATTCTCATAAATATTGTTTATATAATTTAAAAAATAATTCTATATTTAAAGAAAACACATTAATATAAATGTTTGATATCTTTGTTTTATTTTAGAGAAAATTGTATGTCAAAGGAAATAGTGAGATTATATGTTACTGATTGTAAAAAGAAACTTTAATGATAATATAATTGCCTGATTGTATCAATACAGTAATAATACAAGTTTGAAGCATGATACATGAAAGTTGAGCACATGCTATAAAAAAAAATCGTAAATAATTTTTATGAATATCAGCGGTGTTAAACGACAACATATTTTTTTTTTAAATGTTTGAATGATTATAAATATATTATTACAATTATTTATTTTTTTTGCAAAGTTTTTGCAAAGATATAATATTATCACTTTATGAATCATGCAATACTTTTTAATTTTAATTAAAATCCAAATTATTATTATTAACGTAATAGTAATATAATCGAAAATTTTAATTTCTATTACATTTATGTATTCTATTACAAAATCTATTATACTGTGATTTAATTCGTTATGAATTATGCTTTGTTAAATAAGGTAGTAAGTATGATTCATGTATATTATAAAACTGCAAGTATCACATGTCCCCATTTAACATCAGCTAAGAAAAGTAGAGAGAATTAATAATAGTATATACTTCAAATTTAAATTAAATAATACATAATACCATACCAACTGGACACAATCAATCATTTTTTCGATATATATACACACATATATGTATAAGAAATATAAATATATGTATACAGATGTGCAAAAAAATTTCACAGTAAACTACAGGTATGACAGCTTGATATATAAATCATATGATAATTAGTAATAATTTGAGAAAGAATACATTTCAAATATTCAGTCAAGTCTAATAACAACATCAATAAAGAATTAATGCTATAAAATAGAAGAAAATACATTTCTCAAAATTTCTTTTTTTATAGATTATCTAAGTAGAAAAATACATTTATAATTATATGGATTATTAATTAGAAAAAAAACGAATGCATAATGATCTTAACGTAGAATAAAAGAAATACGTTTAGCATAAAAAATATGCATTAGCTATTACACTAGCTCGTGTTTAATCGAACATTTCTTTATATCTATTAATTTTCTAGTCTGAAATATTCTCATGAACATACTTGTAATTTTTTCTGTAGAAAAGAAATGACACTAGGTATGTTAACATTCAATCAAATTCCTAAATGACAACAAAATTTGTTTTTTATTCATATCGCAATACATAATACTGTTAATATTATTATCCAAGTTTATAGAGATATATTCATTATTCATACTGATTTTGTCTGCGATAAATAAAATTAAATATTTTGTACACACACACCATTAATTTACAAATTATATAACAAATTTTCATTAGCATTGTTCAAAATGTATTTATATCTAGTATTATGTTCTTAAAATATATTTATGACAAGCCAAAGACAAAGCAATATTATGCACCAAGATGATAAATATATTAGTCATATTATCACTTTATCATTAAATGAGTTGGATACAAAGAGAAAGCATTTAAACTATATTTAATTATATGTTTTGCTTAGCTTCCTTTTATAGTTACTAATTTAATTATTTAGATTTAACATAGTTCTTGAAAAAAAAAATTAAGAAATAGAATTGTTACTATAAACAAATCATATGTACTATGATAAGCTATATATATATATATATATATATATATATATATATATATATATATATATATATGTATGTGTGTGTTTATTTATATATGTATGTATATGTGTGTGTACATACATATATCTATACATATATATATAAATATATTAATGTTACAGTAATATATTTACTATCAAAACTGATACTTAACGATTATGAAAAGTATTCTAGTATAAGTGGTATCATTATACCAATGACTTTCCTATGTAAATAAAATATAATTTTTTTCTTATTTCTTTTTGATCATAAATTCATTAATCGTTAAAAAAGGCACCTAATACATATATACATATATATTGAATTATATGCCTTTTACACAAACAACGATTTTATGGACCTAATGTTCTACTACACTTAAGTTTTCTATGTCTAAAAAAGTTAAATTTGTTATATCATTGTTGCATCACTATATTGTTGTTCAGCATAAAACATATGTAAGTTATACTATGTAATTTTAAATTTATTGCAATGAATGCATACATTCAGAGCATTGTTTATTATTCAAAATGTTATAATAAAACTATTATTGGCAGACTTATATTCGATTGTTCATGTTAAAAAAAATCTTTGGTTTTTGATATAAATGTTCAAGAAAAACAAAAAAAAAAAAAAAAAAAAAAGAAAAAGGAAGATACATTGCCAATATTGTATATAAAGTGTTGTTTTACTGAAGTTTTTAAAAATATATCTAAGCGATCTAAGATTTTAAATGTAAGTTTTGATTTGGAGAAAAAAATTATATCAATGTGAGAACATTGATAATAGAATATAAAACATATATATAATATAATATTCATGGGTCAATAATACATTATGTCGTCTATATGAGTAAATACTTTTAAACAGATGCGACCTATTTTCTCTTTCTATTTATTATATTTTATCCCTTTGTGCTTATCTACAACGAAAAAGATGTCATTGTGTGACAGTAATGTTTGTATGTGTGAAGATGTAAACACATCTAACACAGTAAAAAACAAGTTAAACAAGTAAGCAAGAAACATACACGGATCATACTTTTTTGAATATATAGATTACTAATAAAGAAATGTCATATGATATATCTCGATATTGTTTTCAAAAAGTAGCATGTATTTATTATTTTATAATAATAGAAGAGTAGTTATCATAAATGTGAATAAAGCCTTTTTTTAAAACATTTCTCATTACTTTATTTTCAAACTATATATATTTTATATATGTATATATTATTAAGATTACATTAAATGTTCAAAATTTTATATATTAGTAAACTTTCATTGGTAAATAATATTAGAAATAATATTAATAGTTTAATTAACAATTTCAATATATTTAAATTTTGAATTCAGAGCCGTTACCTTCATCCAATATCAACAAAAACAAACTTTTGATTGACTTTGAGAGTTTTCGCATCAATTTTCTCTTGGTTTCAGACTAGCAAACAACAGAGCTCTCTCTATCTAAATGTTAAAAATTAATACTTCCAATAAGTTTTCAATTATTTAAACAGTCTTTAAAATATACGGTGTAGAATAAACTAATATTTAAACAATAATATTTAAATAATAGTACATTTTTATTAAACATAGAAAAGATCGTAACGCGCGAGAAATTTAAAATAATTTTAGTATAAAATTCCAGTACTTTAAAATTTTAATCTCGAGATAGTTGATCTTGTATAATATAAACATAAATACGCTTTTTTTTTAACTTTGACGATTACCGACTTAGTTTTCTCTCATACTCAGACCAGTGCATACCGAAACTCTCCCTTTTTAAACGCGAAAACTTATAAATTAATACTTTCGATAAATTTACAATTATTTAAACAATTTTTAATGTATGCAGAGTATAATAAAATAATATTTAAATAATAATACATTCGCTTAATCATTAAAAATACTATAACGCGCGTTAGAATTAGAATAATTTTTATTTTAAATTTCAATCCTTAAAAAAATTTTTATCTCGGGGTAGTTGGCTATATGTGACGTCAACAAAATCGAACCTCAGATCAATTTTGACTGTTACTGGATCATTCTTCCTTTGGATTTCGGCAAATAATCATTGAAGCTTTCTCAAAATTCCTGCAAGTAGTTATGGAGACTTAAAGTAAGTATATTTATATATCATATATTTCTTGAATAATTTATATAGTTTCTTGTTATAAAAGTGATACTAATAATTTTGTTTGTATTTTTCTGTTTCAGGTTTTCATAACAATCGCGCGTGTTACAATGAAGTAATCAAGTGTTTGCATCGTTAAAATAAAAATATCGCATAGTAATAGCAGTATTTGTACATTTGTGTTTCGCGAATTAAACAACAAGCGTTTTTGCATCAACTGCGTGCAATGCAGTCGTTAGAGTCAGTGTTTTGTTCGCAAAGTTTATTGCTTTTTTAACAGTCACACAGACTGTATTTATAAAAGATAGTAGAGTTTTGCGAATTAACTTAAGTGATCGTTCGTTAAAAAATCACTACTGTGTAATAGAGTCAGTGCATCATTGAAGAGGATCTCGACTAAACTCGATATCGACTTATCTTATTTTCAACCACCTACGAATCATCCATCCTCAATTTCGATTTAAATCGCGGACGAATGTTTTGGAGCCATCGCAGAACTTCTTAAGTAGTGAGTGAATTTTTAAGTCCCTCCAATTGCTCAATCATGTCGAGGATGAAAGATCCGAATCGGCACGAGTGATTGATTGTAATTAATTAGTAAAAGAGCATTAAATGACCACGAATAAATTTCTTCGGAGATTTATTCGTGAATGGTTTCTTATTTTTTGATTTATTTATTAGATCAGGATAATGTCTTCTTGTTTGAACATATTTATAATTATTTGAAATTTTAAACATTTTAATACATTTTTAAATATTTTTCTCGCGCGGAAATAGTAAAGAATCTATATTTATTAGTTCTAATAAAGAACTAGTAAAGAAGAGCAAGAAGACATCGCGATCGATAGTCTCTGAATTACAAGCGAAACTGTGCATGATTTTTTTATAATGATAAAAATACTCGCTTGTAAAAAAGAGCGTCGAAGGATTTGCTTTATATTTTTAAATAACTATTAATTAAATATTTAATCATTGATAAAAGTCTCAATAGAGTTATTGGTTTTGAAAGAGGAAAGTCGAGTAAAGTATTTACTAAAAAGCAAAGAGACTTGAAAAATCATATTCCGTAGTCGTAGAAGTTAATGAATTTTTAGTTTAGGATTTTCAGGAATTAATATACTAATTCTAATTTCTCCTATGCTGCAAAAAAAAAACTATCTCTCAAGAAGATAATAATCAGTTTCTGTACAAAAAGGTAAGATTTATATTTTTTAGATTCGTTAGGATTATGTTAGGATTTTCTTACATATCTTAGAATTTGGAATTGAATTTTATTGTTACAGTTGTTGAGTGATAATTGATTAGGTTAGGGCACAAAGCAAAGAAGAGGCTATATGCCGAAGAGACCGTTATAAACTGTAGCTCAAGAGGGTAACTAATATGGTATTGAGTTATTTTCGAAGGTTCCATAGTATCTTTCGAGAATGGTTTTTAGTTATATTTTAATTTTACCATGTTGTCATTCAAAATGCTCTTATATGGTAATGGATGTAGATTTGAAAAACACCTCGACGTAACATTCCGTCTCTGGTCTCACATTGCGTACGCAATAGGATGATTTCATATTTTATGCATTTTTATTATTAAAATCAAGACAAATCTTGCACATTTTCTTTTTTCTATAGTTCAATTAAATTTATAATTTTATTTTAATAAAATCAAGTTTTATGTTAAAGTCGATTGATAAATTTTGCACATTTTTTCTTTTCTAAAGTTCAATTAAATTCATAATTTTATTTTAATAAAATTCTAATATAGAATTTTATTAAAATAAAAGTTAGAGTGATAATCAAGTTCTATATTAAAGTCATATATCTACGAAACGTATAAGATATACCAATTGTAGGGACCACTGAAAGTGCATTGAATAAAAATGTACATGGAGCTAAAACAAACAGAACGGGATGTATGTCAATTTCTCTAAGTTTTGCCACTCGTTACTAATATAATATTTCTTTCAGAGAAAATATTATTTCTTTAGATCAGTATCCAGAATTTTTCATTTTCTTTTACTTTTTTTAAATTAAATTAAATTAAATTCAGAATTTTATCCTTCACATAAGTAGTATACATATATATATACATATTCTTTTTTTTTCCGTATTTCTTTTCAGCCAGTTCCAGGTCGTGGGATCGTGAATTCGGGAAGGAATAAACAGCGTTCTCCGCTTGCGTTTGTAGTTCATATTTTGACCATACCTGTCGCTGAAGTCAATCACCTTTCAAACAAAAAGTAATTAACAATCTTAGTAGGATATATTATACAGTTAGATTGGATACGTGCCTGAGGTCCCTGTAGATATTGTCCTCGGGAGAATGTATGGGAAGGATTAGTTTCTGCAATGTAGCAACCAATTCCAATAAAAGAATTTGAAATATTCCAGCAATGTTATCCAAAGTACTATTTTGAATACGATTTATATTCTACATATAATAAATTTTGCGAAAAAAAAAATAATTTTCATATTATGTTACATTCAAAATAATACCATGGAGCCCTTATCAGTCAGTTTGATCTGACCTGATGATGGATGAAAAGAGCTTTGCTGTGTAATAAAAAGAATGTATCTATCGTTTATTTATATAATATTCACAATAGAGTAAGAAGAATAAGAAAAAAAAAATCGTTGATGGATTTAACCACTGCGTTGCAAATTCAATTACTTCGAAATAGAACGAGGAAGTTAATAATCAATTGTTTCTTTAACAAAATGATCATTTTCTTTTTTTCAAAAATCGAGTATTTACACCTAAGAAAAAATACATGTCTGCTAATTTTTCGTCTTCTTTCACTACGTGAAAGCTTATCAAAATCGGAGGCGACCCTATCTCCTTGTAAGAACTATACTGAAAAGATTTATCTTTAAAATGAGACCTTGTTTACCAAAATCTACCAAGAATTGCGTCTGTTCTCATTGATGGTATAAACCGTTATAAAACCAGGGTTAGTGAAAAAAATTAATTTGACGGTTAGTTGATAAAATAATTTCAATTAAAAATCGAATGGTTTTTATTAGAGATGAATGTATTAATTATATGTAAAATAATGTTAAATAAAAAAAATATGCGTTTGTACTTCTTCATATGATACTATATCTTATGTTCGATAGTTACTATTCTTGTGTGTAAATTATCTATAATATAATGCAGTAAATTTTATTTATAAATTATTATATTTTTTGGTATGTTTATTATAATCATTGATTTGATTTGATTGAACCTTATCTATAAACAACGAATGTATAGTAATATAAAGTGTAATCTGATAATGCAGTACTTAATAGTACTCGACATGCGGTATATACACTTTTTCTAAGTTACTGTTCTATACGTGTAATTTACGGATACTGTTATATACGTTGTGTCATTATATATTTGTTTTTTTAAATTTATTATTTAATAAAAGTAAACATAGTACCTAATGGTTTTATAATATCAAAAACAACCAGTAATCATTAAGTATATAATATAACCTATAATCAACTTAAAAACTGTAATTATTAAGATTTATTAAAGATATCATTCTAATTTTTTCGATACGTACATTTACAATATAATATTTAAAAAAGAATGATAATAATAATACTGTAAAAATAATATTTTTTTTTAAAGAGAAAAATGGCTAAAATCAAAACTCAAGAAAAAATAATAAAGCCAAAAAGCAAATCAACCAATAATCCGTTTAATACTAAAAAAGATGTCAAAACTAAATTGCCAATATTTAATTCAATAATTACTGCAGCATGCATTGGCATTGCTGCATGGTTCAGCTATAGAGGTTATCTTGAAACTAGAGTAAATACACCATACAACATAGAGAAGGTATGAAATTTTCTTTAAATAGATATTTGAACTATTTAAAGGTTTTATTGGATTAACTAAAATTAGTTTTAAATATAATTTAGCTGGTAACCATGGCTGGCTTAGATATACCGGATAGATATTGGGGTACATATAGACCTAATGTTTATTTTGGAATGAAAACAAGAGATCCACATTCTTTGGTAACTGGACTAATGTGGTATTCTCCGCATCATCTACGACAAGATGGTACTGGTCTCAGGCATTGGTGTGAACAGGGTGATAATTTAGATAGGTAATATAATGTTCTTATATTTTTTAATTTTTAATTTATGATGGAATACATTAAATAAGTTTAACTATAGATATGGTTGGTTGGAACACGATGGAAAGACGTTCGGAGTCCAAGAAATAGTAGATTCATCCGTAATTTTAACGACAACATTTGTTAAAAGATTAAATGGTCAATATGGTGGAGATTGGACAACAAAAATTAGTGTAAATTCTAAAAATTCCAAAAAACTTGAACATGAGATCTCTTTGCTATTTTACATTGCTACTGAGGAAAATACTAAAGGATGGATTGAAGTGAATAATGATAATGATGATAGTTTAACAGGAATGACAGGAAATACACAGGGCTTAGGCTCTTTTAATATTAATATACATGCCACAAAAGGTACTATAGAAGAACATTCATTCTTATCAACAATATCACCAAGTTTAACTGCTTTAAAGGAAACTGTTCTTAAGAATCTGAGAATAGCATCATATAAAGGAACTAACAAGAAACATATAATATTGTCTGGTGAACAACTTTCATTATTGCCAGATGGAACTAAGGAAAAACCAAATTTTATTGTTACACAAGTAACAGGAAAAGTTCCTTTTGAAATTGAAATTAATTATGAATCAGAAAGTTTTACCAATAGATTAAATAAATTAAGTGATGATGTATATGATCAAGCATTGCAAAAGCAACGCGAATTATTTGATGAAAAATTTGAGAGTATTTTTAAATTAAAATCTAAAGGTTATTCTAATGAAGAAATTTCTTTTGCAAAAATGGCATTTTCTAACATGATAGGTTCCATAGGTTATTTCTATGGAAGTTCTCAAGTTCAAAGTGTTCATACCAAAGGTCCTGTGCCTTATTGGAAAGCACCCTTATATACTGCAGTACCTAGTAGAAGCTTTTTCCCTCGTGGTTTTTTATGGGATGAAGGATTTCATGGCTTACTTATATCAGCATGGGACTTAGAAATTGAACTAGATATTATAAGTCATTGGTTTGATTTAATGAACATTGAAGGTTGGATACCAAGAGAAATGATCTTAGGTTCTGAAGCACTGGCAAAAGTTCCAGATGAATTCGTAACGCAGATGAATACGAATGCAAATCCTCCAACATTCTTTTTGACTTTATATTATATTATCGAACATAAACAACAAGAATTGTTAAGTAAGCATTTTCATCTTCTTGACAAATTATATCCACGTCTTCAAACTTGGTTTAATTGGTTTAATACAACACAAATTGGTGAATTGCCAAGTACATATAGATGGCGTGGTAGAGATTCCAATACTATCAGAGAATTAAATCCAAAAACTCTTACATCCGGATTAGATGATTATCCTAGAGCTTCGCATCCAAATATTCATGAACGACATGTTGATTTACGTTGTTGGATTGCATTTGCTGCAAATGTTATGTTTAAAATTACTAAAATCTTGAATCATTCTTATAGTAAATACCAAGAAACATTTCATTACTTATCTGATAATAATTTGTTGAATCAATTACATTGGTCACCTAATACACAGACTTACTCTGATTATGGTCTTCATACAGATAAAGTCGTTTTACAGAGACCTTCTTTACAACCTAATGCACAACCTTCAGAAATGATTCGAATTGTCTTAGATGATCCAATTTTAAGATATATTGATTCTTCTTTTGGTTATGTATCCTTATTTCCGTTTATTTTACACATTATTGATCCTAATTCTCTACAACTAGAAAAAGTTCTACAAGATCTAACAGATCCTGATCTTCTCTGGACAAAATATGGATTAAGATCACTTGCAAAAACGTCGCCGTTTTATATGAAATACAATACTGAGCATGACCCACCCTATTGGCGTGGTACTATTTGGATAAATTTAAATTATTTAACAGTTCGAGCTGCTCATTACTATTCGAAAATTGAAGGACCTTTCCAATTAAAAGCAAAAAAAGTATATGACGATCTCAGACATAATATAATACAAAATGTTATTAAACAATACAAACAAAGTGGCTATGTATGGGAAAATTATGGAGATACATTAGGTAATGGAAAAGGAAGTCATCCATTTACGGGTTGGACATCATTGGTAGTTTTACTTATGGCAGAAATCTATTAAAGACTATTTTATTACTCATGAAATATAAAATATTCTTAGATACTAACATAATTAAACAGGAAAGAAGAAACAAAAGAAGATTCCTTCAAGTTAATGAAGATTTTTACATCTTGTTACAAAAAGTTTTAAAATAATAATAATAATAATAATAATAATAATAATAAATTGATTTCATAAAATTGTTTTTAAATACAATAAAATTCACATGTAGTTTTATTCGTTAAATAGTATATAAATAATTTGTACAGCACAGTCCATTTGATATTCGAATATTTGTATATTTGTGTGTAATTCTCTATTTATATAGTGATACCAAAAATAATTAAAAGATAGAAAACTTAGTTTACATTATAGCATTGATCTGTCCACACTTTACAAGGCAAATATATATGTTCATTATCATTGTACTAGTTCTACACAATACTGTAATATACATAGAATAATGTGAATGTGGCATGAACGACAGTGACACAAACATTATACAGATCCTATTCCAAAAATATTTTAAATGTTATAGAATAACTCACTTTGATTTATGTTGTAATATGTTGTCTAATTATAAATATATATTTCTATCTTTTTTTTTTTTTTTTTCTAATAGCCAATTTAAAAAGATACATATTAATGTAAATTTATGTATTATTCAACATTAACTCGTAATACTTTTAAAGTATGCACATTTTTAACTATATAAAATGAAGAAGAATTTGTTTTTTATTACAAAAGAGTTTATTAAAATAATTTATACAAAATTATATAATTTACAGAAGAATTGAAATTATGATTTTTAATTTACGATCTAACATGATAAGGACGTATCTTGCCACTTTCAGACACTGGCTGTGAATTGTTCAAATTTGTAATTTACTTTAAATAAATATATTTACTATCATATCTCAATTTTAATATTCTTTAAATTTAATTTTTTTTCAATTTTTTTAATTTAATTTTTTTTACTTTCTAATATTTTTCCATGAAGCTTTTGTATTATTAAAAATCTCTTACAATTATTCGAACGAATAATTAAATTTCGAGCGTATGGTCAGGTAATCTCGAATCTCGCATGCGAGATTCGAGATGTGATTTCTCTCTCGCGAAATAATCGATAATTTCTTTCAGAGCTCGCCAGAGCTCATCTAAAGAATAGGTGTGTGACTGCAGGAGTACGGTCTTCAATTTTTGAAGTTTTTAGATTAAAACTGTATTTCTACTAATTATGGAGCCCTATGACATGATTGTTAACCAACCTGTGGTAATCGATAATGTGAGTGTTTGATTGTGTAGGATTAAATGGAGGCAAACCCTCATTGTCGTTCTGCAAATGTGTCAAACTCTAAGTCAGGCCATATTGTCGGCCGTAAACTTTGTCGACTTTTCTACATATTTGGATATAATATCATATATTATAAGTATATTATAGAATAAAATTAATTATACTACATATTTTTTTTCTATTCCTATATTAATACTATATCGATTTTATTGTAAAATTGAGATATTTTCATTGAATGCGAATGCGTTCTACAATTTAAAATCGATAATGACTTTATGAAAAAAATTTTTCTTATTTAGGGTTCTGGTGTTATCAAGGCTGGTTTCGCAGGTGACCAATTACCAAAATGCAGGTTTTCAAATTAGTAAGTCCATTAATCTGTACTAGTTCATTAAAATTCATAGTGAAACTCTCTTTGTTTAGAGGTTAATGACAGGTGGCGACTTCAAGTTTGTCATTCGAAGAGTAGCAAATTTTCATAGTCTTAGGCAGTACTTATATTGTAAGAGTTTTCTGTTAAGCATTCTTTAGACTGTTATAAATTAAAGTGTTATCACTCTTATAGACTCATGTTAGTATTTTAACATTTTATCATTTCAATTTCTTACAGTATTGGAAGACCAAAGCATGTACGTGTTATGGCTGGAGCTTTGGAAGGAGATCTTTTTGTGGGCCCAATAGCAGAGGAACACCGTGGTCTATTATCTATACGTTATCCAATGGAACATGGTGTTGTCACAGATTGGAACGATATGGAAAGAATCTGGACTTATGTTTATAGTAAAGATCAATTAGCAACTTGTTGTGAAGAACATCCAGTTTTATTAACAGAAGCACCACTTAATCCCAGAAAAAATCGTGAAAAAGCTGCAGAAATATTTTTTGAATCATTTAATGCCCCAGCTCTATTTGTTTCTATGCAAGCTGTACTTAGTTTGTAAGTGAGAAATTTATAATGCAGTTATATAATTTTTGAAATATTTGTATGATTTTTTCTTTTTATTCATGTGTAATAGATATGCCACAGGAAGAACTACGGGAGTAGTTTTAGATGCTGGAGATGGTGTAACGCATGCAGTACCTATTTATGAAGGTTTTGCTATGCCTCACAGTATAATGAGGGTAGACATAGCAGGTCGAGATGTTACAAGACATTTACGACTATTGCTACGTAAGGAGGGTATAAATTTTAAAACCACAGCCGAATTTGAAATTGTTAGAACAATTAAAGAACGATCTTGCTACTTAGCCAGTAATCCGCAAAAAGAGGAAACGATTGAAACTGAGAAATTTCAATATGTTTTACCTGATGGAAGTCATTTAGAGGTAATAAAATTATTTATTTTGTTAACATTATAAATTACTTTATATCATAGTAATATATTCTTTTAAAATAGATTGGTCCAGCCAGATTTAGAGCTCCTGAAGTGCTCTTTAGACCAGATCTAATTGGAGAAGAGTGTGAAGGAATTCACGAAGTACTAATGTTCTCGATTCAAAAATCAGATTTAGATTTGAGAAAAGTATTGTTACAAAATATTGTATTATCTGGAGGATCCACGCTGTTTCGTGTATGTACAAATTAATATGTATATATATGAAGTAAATGGTAACATGATGTATGTGTGTGTGTTAATTATAACAAATTGCATATTTTTTTCAGGGTTTTGGTGATAGACTATTGTCAGAAATTCGTAAAATGGCATCAAAAGATATAAAGATCAGGGTAAGTTTTTTAAGATAGTTACTATTATTATAAAATATAGTTAAAGCTTAATTTTTAAGTATTTAGTGACATAACATAGTTACACAATATGTTATGTATGACAGATATCAGCTCCCCAAGAACGTCTATACAGTACTTGGATTGGAGGATCTATTTTGGCCTCTTTAGATACATTTAAGAAAATGTGGGTTAGTAAAAGAGAGTATGATGAAGATGGTATTAGAGCAATTCATCGTAAAACATTCTGAACATAATTTAGAAAACTTACAGGTAATATATGAAATAATTTTAAGTAAAATACAAATAATGGCACACTCGAAACAAACAAACCTATTTATCATATTATTCATACTTTCACAAACTTTTGTTGTCCTTGTTTTTTCTTTTCACACAATTTGTGTGCAAAATATATTTCAAGGGATTGAGAAATCTATCTGGGTATAAGTATGGTAAACAAGATAAAGCATAACATTTTTTTAAATGCTTAATACATCTTATGTGAAACATGAGTTTTTAATAGTGTATTCTCAAGGAGAAATCACATCATCTTAATATCAAAATAATATTTTCTGATCCCTTAGAAATGTAAATAAAGCCATATCTGGTCACACATAAATATAAAAAGATATTAAATAACATTTATTTGAAATGTTATGTTTCAATTTTGATAACTTATATATTTGTTTTCTATTATACTTTTTGTCACTAGTTTTTTCAATGCAGTAGTAAAAAAGTGCTTTAACTGATCTATTTCGTATGAGATCAACTTATGTATTTTCATGTGCAGTAAAAGTTTTGCAGTAAAATATTTGTAAATATGTATGCTTTCATAAAATAAATCTACAGTCTTTACAAATACATATTTCTCTGTCAACTTTTGTAATCACATATTATTGTTATCTATTGTGCTGCTTCGTACAAAAAAAAAGTAATTTTTGCTAATAAAGTATCACTTCACAATGGTAATGTATCATTTAAGAAAAAGTAATTATTAACTTCAGTTTTATGTGTGAAAAAATAAGATGTACGTACGTACATCTTATATAATAAGATTGAAGAAATAATAAGATTGTATCGTACATTTCAACTGTGATACAAGTAAATAATCAGGATTGATTTAAATTTCTTATGAGAAAAAATATACATTATATATGAATTAGAAGCATGTAATTAATCTAGAAAATTAAATAATTGATCTAGCCTCATTTACAGCAACGTTAAGATGTATCAATGTTATGTGTAATATGGCTTTTATTGACATATTATTATTATATCATTATATGTGGTCTTATTATGAATGATATTGAAGTGAATAATGCAAAGCCTAAAATAAACATACAAAAGTGACATTCCATTTAATTGATGAACATTGTGACGTGTTATACTAACAGTATTGCGTATAATTAATATTTATAATATTTATACTATTTCTTTTTTTTATCTAAAAGTTTTCAAATATTTAACTTATGTACTTTTATTTAAAATAAATATAATTAGAAGAAAGATGGATATTGCATAATTAATAATAAAATAATATGAAATACCCTACACTATGCTTCAATAAGTTTATTTGCAACAACTGTTATAAAAATAAATATCTTTTTCTATATTGATTTAAATATAAGAATATATTCACAATAATATAGGAGAGATTTACAGTTTCATTTTTCTTAATTATATTTTAAGTGAATTTAAATGTTTTACAAATTGTAATAAATAAGTTATATGAAAGAAAATACATTTCCATATATCAAACAATTATATAAACTTAAAAAGTATTAGATTTTTCTATAAATTTTAATTTTATCTAAAACCTAAATTACGTCGCCTATAAAATTGTTCTTCGTGTATAACAGGAATTCCAGTTATCATATATATTAAATTATCAATTAATTCGCCAATAAATGTATAGCAATATAAACATCCAACTAATATACCACCAAGATGACCAATAAATGAAGAATTTGGTACTAAAAGATGTATCAATCCTAGCTCAACCCAAACTGCTATTTTACTTGGTACCCTTAAGCCACCAATATCATGAGATCTATCATGTTCTTCGCAGATAGTTATCACTTTTAATGCAAATAGTACAGAAGAAAAACCAATTGCACACATCGTGTAATACCCATAATCTCCTGTGAATTGCATGAGTATATATGCCAGAGAGACATACATAGCACTACATCCAAATGATAATGATGCAAGCAATAATACAAAATTGGTTGTTCCATACATAAGTTCCAAGTATGAGCCTTTCAGTATAAAAGATACCATGTTATAATAAAGATGCATATCTGATCCATGTTCGAAATTTGATACTATAAAAGAGCGCCAATCACGGTATTTAAATAATTTTACTGCTGATATACATGCATCTTCTGCATTCCATGGAACTTTTATTAGACCTGTATAAAGTAGAGCCTAAAAAGATTAAGCATATATTAATAATTAAATACATTACTTATGATACTATACTTGAGATATAAATACATGTAATATATATCAAAATTTATAGTTTTACCTGTAGTATCACACCTATTAAGGTAGCCGGGGGTATCCTATCAACACCAAAATTTATAGCCTGCATACATAATAAATACAAGCCATATTGTAGGCCTTGTTGACGTCTTTGAACAGGTCTCATGATAATCGATGATCAAAGATTACACTGCTTGATGATATTGCTTCTTTGAATGGGTTTAAACTAACCTTTAAATTTTTATATTTTATAACATGTTGCAATACATTTTCTGCCATCATTCGTAAATATGATTATAGCATATATATATATAATACAGTACTACCAATATTCGCACAAAATATATCTTTCTAATAGCTTTTACCCGCCTGTTGAAAATATTTAAATTTTCAAATTATCAGATACATTGTCAATATAATCAATCAAAAAAGCACTCAAAATAGTTGATAAGTTTTGATAGACCAAGTAATATGTAAAATTAATATATGTGATAAGATCGGTATTATTGCATATTATTATAAACATGTAAACAACGCAAAAATACCATAAAACTTATTGGATGCATTTAATGCATTTAAAGTAGCTATCATCTGGATTTTATTTAAAATTATCTAAATCAAGTATCCTATAAAAAATATTATACACTTATAAAAAGAATTAGAATTGATATTAGTAATAATTGGAAAGTGTATTAGTAGTGATGTCAACGCCATCGTCAGCTTGGACACACTGATAGAAATCTTTGATTCTTTATATAAAGAATGATATATTTGAGCGGTCTACTAATTAATTGTTTAAAAAATGGCTATAGCATTGTGTAAACTATCACGATTCTCGAGAAGTTATAAATATTTAAAGCATTATGATAATTCTAATATAAATAATCATTCATCGTTGCTTTGTACAGTAGCTCAGCAACCAAAATCAAGAAATTTAGTAAAAATCGGAATTATAGGTGCAACTATTGGTGTTGTAGCAGGAACAGGTTATTCTTTCTATAAAATTAGTGAAAAAAGAAAAAATTTAGCTTTAGATGGAACGTATGTAAATCCAACCCAAATATTAAAACATAAACCACCTATTACACCATCTAGAAAGGTATTTTTAATACTCTACATTTTAAGATAAATAATTTTTATCTTAATTTTATCTAATAAAAGTTATAATTTCTTTTGTATAACTTCATTTTATTGTTAGGTCACTTTTCCTATAAATACAACTGGACTGAAACTTACATTGTATCAATATCAAACATGTCCCTTTTGCTGTAAAGTAAGTAATTGTATATAGTTAAAAAGTATATTATATTATTAATCGGTAAAATTTTTAGTTATTTTTATTTTTAAGTTAAATACATGCATAATTTTTATTACAATAATACAATTTTTATAAAATTGGGTTTAGGTTAGGGCTTTTTTAGATTATTATGGAATATCTTATGACGTGGTCGAGGTGGATCCAGTATTGCGAAAAGAAATTTCTTGGTCTTCTTACAAAAAAGTACCAATACTTCTTGTTCAAGTAAAAGATGGTTATCAACCCTTGAATGACAGTTCAATGATTATATCATTGCTGTCGTCTTATATGCAAGATAAATATCAAAATATCTCACAATTGGTAGAATATTATCCAAACATAGCTATGCATGACGATAAAGGAAAATTTAAATATGAAATTATGAATAAATATTTCCTTATGTACAATAAAATGCCTTCTGAAGATATTTCAATGAATGCTATAATGTAAGTAATGACATGTATTTTATGTGTATAGTTTTTTAAAAGCTTTTATGGAAAACATTTCATATAGATAACCTTTCATCTAATGACCTTTCATTTAATGACCTTTCATCTAATGAATTTTAGAAATTAGATGAAAAGTCATCTGTAAAAAGTATTATAAGTATCCCTTTTTCTTTATATGTATATTTTACTATTTCATTAGAGAAGAACGTAAATGGAGACAGTGGACAGATGATGTATTAGTTCATACTCTTTCACCAAATGTATACAGAACATTGAATGAAGCATATGAAACTTTTGAATGGTTTTCTGAAGTAAGCACATTTACTTATTTAAAAATATATTTTAAAATAATAAATATAATTAAAATTTTAATCCAGGTTGGTCAATGGAAAGAATATTTCCCGTTATGGGAAAAAATGTTAATAATTAATGTAGGAGCATGTGCTATGTGGTTGATAGCAAAACGTTTAAAAAAAAGACATAGACTAAAGGAAGATGTTCGCCAATCATTGTATGATGAAGTAAATAAGTGGTTAAAAGAAATTCATGTCAATGGAACTCCATTTAAGGGTGGTCATAATCCAGACCTTTCAGATCTTGCAGTATATGGTGTTTTAAAAAGTATTGAAGGATGTTCTGCTTTTAAAGACTTATTAAAAAATACAAAGTTGTCTAAATGGTATAATGCCATGAATGAAAGAGTTCAGACATATGCTGGAAGTACTCTTGTAAATGGTTAATTTATTCATTATAGAGTTCTGTAATTTAATTTAATTTTTGTTCAAAAAGAAAATGTAGTATGGTATTAAAATAATTGTAAAGTGATCTATGAATTTATAAAGATTAACTTTATTTTATTTCTTGCATAATTACAAAGTTAACCAATAAATAATTTTAACTGTTTATTTATGGGCTATTTACTTTACACAGCACATGGCAATTGACGGTATGTTAACTTAAAACCTTTGTTTTGTGCATCATTTAATTCATTATCATTTGTAACAACATAAAGTACAAATGGTTTTAAAGTAGCTGAAATATTAATAAAATAAATATAGTAATTTTATTTCGATATTATATACAATGCAGAATATATCAAAACATATTTCTAGTATAATTACCAATATATTTAATATAACTATCAATATATTTAAATGAGACTGAGATTTATATACATACATGTTTTAGTTGTAAAAGCATTCCCACAAAAACGTTCTGTATTATCAGGAATACCATTTTCACTGGGGTTTGGTATAATAACAAAGTCATCAGTACAATTCAATCCAGATTCTGCTACTACAGAAGTACCTATGATAATAATACAACATTATTTACATATTTTATTATATTATATTTGTATTTAATTTACCTATTATAGTTGGATCTAAAGTACTTGTATCTCCAGAAATAGAAAATGAATTTATATCACTTTGCGACCATTGAATACTACAATAACCTAAAGCCATTCTAATGCAAATACCATAATTTAAATTAACCATTTCTCTAGTTCCCACCTCAGGTGCTGAAATATTTTATATTTCTGTGTAATATATCAGATATGCTTGAAAAAATTACTGATTTTTGTACTTACATCTTGAATTCACAGTTGTACCATAGTTGAAACTTGTTACAGTATCAGATGTTGATTTATAATATTGTAAACATCCATTAGGAGCTAAAATATACCATATAATATTTCCAATCATTTTTAAATATTTTAATAATTTTATTAGGAATAGAAAATTATGAAATTTCTTTTTGTACCTCTCCATAAAGAATCACATGCTATTTGTTGTATTCTTATATTCCAACGACGATCAAATGCATAATCTGCATTTGTTCCTATAGAAATCGTAATTGGGGATGCTTCATTAAAATCTGCATATACTGTAAAATATATAAATTATAATTATTTATTGTTTTTATAATTTCAAGTTATTTTTATGATAGTTATACCATGTTGATTAGAATTTTCTCCACATATACGAGGTACTGATGATGCTGCTCCAGTTATTAAAAACAAATCATAATCGCATGTTCCATTTAAATTAGGCTGGGAGAAACTAAAATCTATAAAATCTAAACGTATCTGTAAACATAATAGATTTTTCATAACGATACACATATTAAAATTATATTAAAAATAAATTATATTTACATCAATACCTGACATATGCCAGAATTACATTTATTTATTGTTATTGTACAACGTTCTCCTCCTTTATAAGTAGTAGGATAACCTGGATTAATGAAATATGTATTATTTATATTTGTAGTAGACCCACATGTCTTTTGAACTGTAAAAAAAGAAGTATAGATAATATTTATATATTTGTATATAATAATATAATCTATTCTTGATTTATATTATATAAATTGTATATAATATATAATATACTTACAAACACAACAAATGCCAAGACCATTTGCACATGTACCAGATGGTGTTCCACCATAGTTATAACATTCTCGCCGTGTAAAGCATGTGCCATTAAGCGAATTACTTGCTAGACATTGAGAGTTTGCAAATCGTATAACACTAAAGAATGGAAAAACTGTACAAAAGTATATAATTACTTATAAATGTTATATTTTTAGAAACTTATCAAATTATAGATCCAATAAATAGAAAAATATGAGATAAGACTTACATTTTTTCTGACGGATCATATAAGGATTATAAGATATTTTTTCCAAAACTTCATTAGTCATTAGAGTATTATTGTGATCAAAAAATTGACCAGTTACAAAAGAGAATATAACAAATAATACAGCTAACATTATACTGAACATCTCTAAAAGAATATCTGACTTCTCTGCATTCTGTAGAACTAATAACGGTCTTTGTTTGCTTGGGCTCTCGGAGTAATTAGCAAGTTCTTGAACATGCCAACTGGATACCGTATAATGCAATATAACTGTAAAATGAAAATGTATTATGTGTAAATTTAATACAGTTTTTATCTAAAAAAACTTTTTACTTTATATTAATAATATACATATTTAATTAAATACATAATTTTTTACAATTAAAATAATTATTTTTGTTTTTTATATTAATATTAATATTAATATTAATATTAATATTAATATTTAACGACCTACTTCATATGACTTTCGAAGTTGTTCCGTTAATACAAAGTGAATATATACAATTATATGTTTTACTATAGTCTTTTTTTATACATCTTAAAAATTCTTAACAGTAATAAAATCAATAGTTATCTAACATATCATAAAATGATATAAATTCTTAAAATATTTTGTCATATACAAAAAATGTATGATTGTAATTTTTCATGTATTTATTTATTTTTATAATTTAACTGTTTGATGTTTGTGAAGTTCTGCAAAATGGGCAATGACCATGTCTTAGTAATGCCAATTCATAATCATCTGAATGAAATAACTGAAAAATAAAGAATATTATTTACAATAGATACAAATTACATGCATTAAATAATCTAATATATTACTTACTTTTAAACAAGATTTACATAATGTTACTTGAAGATCTGGCAAAAGATTTCTAAAATATTTTGTTTTGAATGGTTTTGGCCATTTGACTATTAAAACGGTTGAGGGATCCATACTTTTTAGTACATTTCGTCCAACAATAACCGTGGAATCGTCTGTCTTCTCCTAAAAAAAGATTACATCATAGGTAATAACAAATAAATAATAACAAACCAGATTCAAGTCAACTTAATAAATATTTAAAAAATGATTTATTATACCTCGTATTTTATTAAACGCGCTGTAAAAAGGTCTGTTTCATTGGAAAATACAGTAAGTTGATCTTCTGTTGATATACTCGATAATGACAATGGTTCTTCTATTAATTTCTCTGCTTCTTGGTCAGTAATTCCTTCCTCTAATTCAAACTCGACTAACGGTAGAATTTCTGCAACAGTACACTATTATTGATATTACTGATATAGTAAGATTAATTAAAATGTATAAATTCATAGAAAGTTTGACAATATTATCATTTACCAAACATAACAAATGAGTATTGGAATTTTAGGCCACATTGTATACATTTGCTACCAATACTATAATCTACTGGTAACAGTGGATTAAATGTTGAGCACTTATAGCATAATGGTAGTAGTTCTTCAGGATCTCTGTATGGATAAGCTCTTGCAGCTAAAGTAGAAGTCTCAACTTGTGCAAGAAGGTTTTTAGAAATTTTCATTGAACGTAATTGTTCAAGTAACTGCATAACTAGTTTGTTGGCACCTAACAAGCGAGCTTGCTTGATGAGAGTATACATTATTTTAAGTTTGGATACACCTTCTAATTGAATGCTTTGTGTTTTTAAAAGTAAATATCTTGAAATGTTAAATAATGCTTCTGGCATTAAAGATGTGAATGGTTCGTCCTTAAATAAAATAATACTTCATTAAAAATCATTCTAAAATTCATCAAAAATTTATCTTACCAAATATTTATGTATTTCATGATATGCATAGTAGACATCAGCTTTATTATAATAAGATAAATACATAGTTTTTATTTCTTCTGTATTTTTTAACAAATTAAGACTAAGCTGAGATAAAAGCCAGTAAAAATAACAGGCATCACGATATCTTTTCTCAGCTATGGCATTGTCGGCTAAGCTCGTGAGCACACTAACTGATTCTTCAGGTTGGCCAGCCATTTGAAAAGCTATACAAAAAATATACAATAAAAATTGATTGATTGAATTGACATATACTATTAAATTTATTAATAAAAAATGCAATCACCTTCTTGTGCTTCAGAGAAACGGCCAGTTTCTGCTAACCATCTAGCATATGGACCATATACTCGTGATTTTAATTTGGGATTTCTTTCTGCAAGTTCAAAAGCTTCAGGCCAAGCTTGTGCATCAATAAGTACATCTGCTACATCAGGATCATCACCTAATCTACTAAAAATCTCAGCTGCACCATGAGTAGCTCCCAACTGTTTCAATATTTTAGCAATCAAAGATAAATTATCTCTATCTGATTTATCCAGTTGTCTGCCAACTTTTATGAGCATATCAATCCATCCATACTCGGCAATGATATTAATAGCACGTTGTGTATCACCCGCGGAAAAGAACATTTCCGCTGCTGCACGTGGTTCACCTAAACTCTTTGCCCATTCCGCTCGTCGACGTAATAAAATAGTACGATCCTGAAATTTTAATAAATAAAAGAAATGAAATTAAAATATTTATTAAAGAAAATTACATAGTAATAAAACATAATTTTTAATTACCTGAGTATTGCCACTTGCTATAAATTCTTGAGCAATATCAAACATACGTAAATCGGAATACATATCACGAGCATACTGCTGTAAACCTGCTTTCTGATATAATTTTGCTGCATCTCGTAACCTACCCATAGCTGCAGCAGCTATAGCCATACATGCTTCTTGACCCCATTCACCAGATTTTAATTTTTCTTCTACTTCTGATACAACTTCTATATATCTTAGGTTTTTTATACGAGCAAAGGCAGAATAGGCTATATTTAACTCTAAATTATCTAAAGCAGCGATCCCTAATGCTCGCCAATCTGATTCAGCAACACCAAGACACGCTACTTCATAAGCTTCTTTAAAAAGTCCAATGTCTAAATATTGATACATGAACAATGAGAGAGGTACCTGAATAAAATATTAATATGAAATAAATATTTAAATGTAAATTAGAGTGATATATAAATGAAATAAATGCTATATTTTATACCTCTAAGATAATAACAGCAGAACCATTTAAGCAATATAATTTTGATCCATTGTGGCCAACAACGAATCCTGAAAATTTTTGCCGATATTCCGAAAAATTAGCTACTTTAATTGCAAGATAGTTGCTACCAGAAAAACACATTATATCTTCAGAAGCACTATTATACGCAACACTTGTAACATCTTGGAAATCCTGTAATTTTTCTTCTGTGTATAAATCAAATATGGAAAGAACTCCAGTTTCACTAACAACTGCCATTTTTTCTTTTAGAGAACTGATATCCAAACACCTTACTGATCCTTCTACTTTTGCCAAATGTGCAGGGAATGGATTATCCAAATAGATCTTAATTACATGTCCTGTCTTTAAACCTAGTAGTGACATAATATTTTTTTGATAGTTATATTAGTATATTAAGTTATATTTTACTTTAGTAAACTTACCTGTAATTAAGCATTCTTGTCCTGCTGGTCCCCCTACTACTTTTATATAAGTTATAAGATCATCAAGAATCCATTCTCTTTCAACAATACCAGTGAAAGATAGACATTGTAATCGCCTTTCCAAGCATAAAACTAAATGATTGGTTGTGATAACTAATAAGTTACAATTAATTGTTTGATTAAGTTTTTCGCGTATACGATAATGCATTCCCTCACTACTTCCAGATGGTTCATAAATTATTACTCTTTCAGGTAATTGAACAGCAAGTCTATTTCTATATACAGCGATACGACATACCTAAAAAAAGAAAACAATATTTTTACATTTTTAAACTTCATAAAAAATAAAAAATTAAAATATTACAATGTTTATATATGTGATTCATACCAAATCTTTGCACTTAATACGGACTTTTTGATTTGTTACTAAATGTTGTATTATAACATCAGTCATATTTTCTCTGTAAGCATATCTATCTTCATACAACCCATGTACAATATTCCATGATAATTGTAAATAAGTTATTGTTCCATCTTGACAACCAAGTGCCTAACAAAAAATTATTTAAATTATTATAATTATTAAAATTATTAAAACAGAATATAGATGACCATTTATTATTCTTTTTATAAAAATGTAATAAAAAAGTATCTTACAATATGTGAAGAAGATGGATGAACTGCACAGCTCCAAACCCACGAAGAAAATGTATTGCCAACAACAGCAAGTTGTATACCATCGTGAGTCATTAAAAGACATTGTTTGTTACTACCAGAAACAAGAATATATTGACCATCAGGAAAATATGTAATTTTTAAAGGAGTAAAGTGTACTGTTCTTTCTTTTCCAACGGCTTTTCCATTAATCGTGTAAAATGAAATGACTCCATTCCATTCAGCAATACATAAGATATCTGCTGTATCATCTCTATAATATAATCAGATTATTTTTTTTATTTTATATTACGTATTCTGTTTGTACATACAATTACATAATATAATGATACCGCAAAGGATTCCATGCTAAGCTCCAGATAGGTACACCGCTTTGTCTTTCAATACGTGTTTTTTCTTCGCCATTCTAAATATATAATTATAAAATAGAATATATTATTTGTATATAAAAACAATAAAATAATAGAAAATAATTAACCTTATTTCTGATAGATACATATCCAGTTGCTACGCCAATAGCTAAATATTGTCCATCCAAAGTCCACGCGCAACAATTAACTCTTCCTCCTGATTTATGTTTCTGTACCGCTTTTTGTTCAGCTGACCAAAATGCGATATCAGAAAGAGAACAACTAAGTAACTGATGTGATACAGGATTAAATTGCATTGCCTGAACAGCTTCATTATGCCTATATATTTTATATTAGAATAATATTATGATGCAACTTTGATAATTCTTATTAATAAGAATATATATTTTATATTAGAATCCTATATATTTTATATTAGAATGATATTATGATGCAACTTTGATAATTCTTATTAATAAAATATTACAAATAAAACAAGACTTACGAATACTTCAATATTCCTTCTAATTTGAATGTCCATATAATAACACTTTTATCTGCACTACCTGATGCAAATCTTCTGCCATCTTTTGCATAACATACACAATATACTGTATCTTTGTGACCTATAATAATTATAGATTACATTTTATTAAAAATACAGGCAATATAAAATACAAAATCATATCTTATAATATGTACTGAATATTATTACCTTTTAGTGGTTGTACTAAAGCACCACCAGTTGTTTCATAGACTAACACTTGATGTCCTGCAGCAACGACTAATTGTGTGCCATCAGGATTAAAACATAAATCATATATACTGTAAAAAATTTTAATTCATATTAAAAATGTATGCATTAAATAATTTATAAAATACATTATATAATTTTAATAAATATTTACCATTGTTCTTGTTTATCTTGAACTTTATCAACCCATGCTGGCTGTCCCCTCATTATATAACAATGTACAGAAATATTTGATAATAATTGCAATAATGTTATCTATTCAACGCATTCAACAATATAGAACAATGTAGGATTTGTTTTGAAACTGTTTGGTTTCCACGGTAACATAAATTTCAATATGGAAGAAAATGCATAAAATGAATATTCCGAAGAGAGGTAGTCTTCCGATTCGTATTTGATCTATTTTAAATGCAAATTACCATTTAATATCAATTTATTTGTTCTTATCAATTAACTATGTGTGAATTAATTGAAAAAAAAAGAAATATATATAAGTTAGCATAATTTAAAAATATATTCTATGTCTTTGTGAAAATGAACATTTATATTTTTGTTTTCTGAATTCGTTGAAAAAAGTATCAATCGATATTATATCTCTCTGTCGATATAACAGTATTATCTATTCTGAACTTTTATTGGCCGATATTATAGAGGAATTTGCTTCGTACTATTTGTATTAACGAGAAAGTAGTAAGATTCTTCACTTAACTTCATTAGGATCGAAGGAAACGAAAGGTAAATGTTATACGACGTGAATTTAGCAAAATCATAAATATCTGTCCATGTGACATTAGTTGGGGGAACGTCTCCGAATGCGGTAAATCGTGTTGTCAAAGATCATAAGTTTCTGTCTATTTTGTTCCCCCTGTGACTAGATTTGAATAAAGAATTATTTGTATGTCTTCTTTTATCGCAGTCAAACGTCTAGTTTAACATGATCAAATTATTTTCGTTGAAACAAGCGAAAAAAGATGGCGAGTCACCAAAGGCTGGGACCCAGAAAAAGGCATCAGCAGCTCAGCTGAGAATAACGAAAGGTTCGATTCGGCGCAATACCATATCTATTGTTCTTAAGAAACAATTATAATTGTTAAATGTAAAAATATTTATTTCCTCTTTTTTTTATAGATATAAACGAACTTAATCTACCAAAAACATGTGGTACAGAGTTTCCCGATCCCGATGATTTACTGAGTTTTAAATTAATTATTTGTCCAGATGAGGTACGTAGAATTTAAAAAAAGAAATATATTTTATAATTGCACTAAATCATATAGTATAATAGTAGTGACAATAACAATAATTACAATAACAATAGAAGAGAAAGATAGTACCATCTTTATGTAATTTAGTGTTACTGTTATATCTATTGCCTCTGCATTGTAATCTGCATTCACTTATTTTCCAGGGATTTTATAGAGGTGGTAGATTTGTATTCAGTTTTAAAGTTGGACCAAATTATCCTCACGAACCACCTAAAGTTAAATGTGAAACTCAGGTTTATCATCCTAATATTGACTTGGATGGCAATGTATGTCTCAATATCTTAAGAGAAGACTGGAAACCGGTTCTCACAATTAATTCTATTGTTTATGGACTTCAGTACCTTTTTCTAGTATGATTTGACATTTTATAATTTTTTATTAATTTAATGTATTATACATAATTAAAAAGAAAAAAAAGAGAGAGAGAGAGAGAGAGAGAGAGAGAGAGAGAGAGAGAGAGAGAGAGAGAAGATAAACATAAACCAGTTGTAAAGTGAATGAAATTAATAATAATATTATTGTAGGAACCCAATCCAGAAGATCCCCTTAATAAAGATGCTGCAGAAGTATTACAAAATAACAGAAGAGTATTCGAACAAAATGTAGCAAAAGCTATGAGAGGAGGATATGTAGGATCATTTTGTTTTGAACGATGTCTCAAGTGATACAGTATCCTGTCATTGTTGCTGTATACATTTCTTTAGGGACTCACTTTGGGAAAAATATCCTGACATACAGGGCGAAAATAGGACAACGAGTCCTATCACTTGCGTGATCACTTTATACACATTTATTTTCTTTATGTTTTGCCAGGCCTATATACGTCAGTTTCATCAAATACTTTATATTTTTCATTAATAAACCTCTTAAAATGTTTAATACATAAGTTTCCTTATTTAAATAAAATGAAGATACGTTTTGGCCATGGCATCATTTAGTGAAATTGGAATGCAACTGAAGAATGATAGATCAATTATAGTGAGCATTCCACTGATAAAATAGGTGTTGCTGACTAATTGATATTGAATTCTGAGTGGACCTTAGTCATTAGGTATACAAAACTTTTAACTATATTTGTTTTTTTACCATCGCCATTTTCAATTTATGTATCATAATTTCATATCTCATTATTAGTATATGAAATTACCAGCAGCACCTATTAAGTTTTTCTGCAGTTCTTAATTACATATATATAATTTAATTTAAATAATGACTGAGGTGGAATGTAAGGCTGTTATAGAAAAACAGATATTTTATTTGGTTTGGCAAAGATTGCACATATAAAAGACATCAATTGCCATTTTTTGTCAATGGAGGACGTAAGAATTGTAATATTTGTATGCATAAACATGTTCCATTTATATGCAATAAGAAATAATAGATAAAAAAATTTCCAATTACTATATAAGTAGACAATTGTAATTTCATAAAATTACTGAACAATTGCAAGGCATGATCTTTTATATCAATTGTTCATTCGAATGCCAAAGGCTTTTTAAAAATATATTTAACTTCAAAGATATGTACATAAAAAATAAATAATGTTATATGCATTTTTGAAATTTCGAAAAATATAAATAAAGATGAGATAATTTAAATAAATAAATTATCTTTATAATTATCATATATAAAAATATCATGCCATAACAATCTGTATTTACATATGTATGTATCCTCATAAGAATATTTCTCATAAAAATGTTTTACGTCCTCGAAATTGCGATCTTTTTAAATTTCATACCAAACCATAAAATGTTCTTTAATTTTAATGAATTAATTAATTTTTAGAATTGTTTTCATTTTTTTTTAATGACAATTCGTTATCTTTATATACACGCGATATTAAAGAATATATTATAAAAGAAATCAAAATTTTTAATTTGTAATTTTAAAATTATAATAAAATGAACAAATTTGTTTAAAAATTGGCTAATAATTTACTTTTTCGTGAAAAAAGAAATAATTTAGATTCTAATTCTGATAGATCAATGTGATCACTTATAAGACAACATTAACAAATTGAAGTATTCACGACATAGAAAATAATAAAAATTGATAAAAGAATAGGTAAATAAATGATAATTACATATATATTAAATTCAGAGTTAAATAATAAATTTTTTCTTACCTTGAGTTACAATAATGTTTTTAAAAAATCATGTCTTTACTAATTAATACACATTTTTATACAATATTTATATAAATTAAGGTATTTTATTGTTTTGTTAGAAGTTTTGTAGGAACTACAAATTTATATGTATGGAATGATATTTTCTTTTGCAATAGATAACTTCTTTCCCTTGTATTCATTACTAATTTGTTATATTGTAGTACAATAAGTGTAAAACTTATTAACTAAAAAATAACAGCTTTTTTTAGTTCTTTGCTATATTTTTCAATAAAGATTTAGTGTATATTATCATTTCGAGGCACTTTTTTATATTTTCCTTCAATCAACAAAATTAGTCAAATTTTTATAGTACTATTAAAATGTGTTATAATAATAATAATTAGAAGATTTATTACATTAATTTAATCAGGAATAATTGTTACTTGAAATATCTTAAAAAAATTAGATAATATTAAAAGAAGATATATATGCAATATAAATTATACATATATAATATATGTAAAGATTCTTTTAATTTTTGTATATTTATGTCTCAAAAAAACAATCTTTAAATAGCATAGACTGAAATAAGGAGAGATATTAAAATATATAATATGCATTTTTAATTTATCTCAATATAATAAATATTTTTATACATGAAAATAAACATGTGAATAAGCATTATCAAAATTAAACATATAACTTTATTTAAGAGTTATATGTATTTATCATTTTGTTGTTAGTATAAAAATTATTAGAGCAATGAATAAATCTCTCTCTCTCTTTCTCTCTCTCTCTCTCTCATACCATCGTTGTATTTTAGATTCAGCATATATTAAAAATGTTTACTATTTACAATTCATATTTCATTTATTATATGGACAAGAAATCAATATAATTTGCTTTTAAATCTTTTTGGATGTAGTAATCATTCTATTTGTATTATAAGTGTTAATTTTTATTTGTATGCATATGTTATATTTTATAAATGAGATTTTCATTTCAAAGTTTCATTTTAAATCTGAATTTGTATAGGTAAAAAAGGATAAACAAACGATTTAAGAAAATAAAGTTGCACTCAGTAATCACTTATTTATGGTCAAGGATTGCTGTAGAAACTTATGCATAATAAATTTTTAGTGATATTGTATTTGTTAGTTAGAGAGTTATCACTATACTATTTATGTGAAGTTGTTGACTTTAATCTTTTTTTGTTATATAAGTGTTACTATCTAATCAAATTTAAATGCAGTGTATGGTGACGTGCTGCTATTTACTTTACAAAAGCTTGTCTGAATTAGATGTACTTTCTTAATAAAATGATTACATGAAAAAATAAAACTATGATATTAATTTAAATTATCTTCAATTATTACAAATTTTATATGAAGAGTGAATATGTTAATGCATTTAATAAATAATAATAGTTAGATAAAAGAACATAAATTTCTCTTGAAATAACTTTTAATGACCAATTAATGGTTATAATTTTTACTTTATTTTATACTGTAGTATTAGAAATTTTTGTTATATTATTAAAGATATAGCATAAGAAGAAACCTTCCTTTAGTCAAAATTATTTAAATTCAATATAAAGATTGGCATTTTTTTTAAGTTTTTACTCATGATTAATAAATTCATCAATTTGCAATATTATAATTTTTGACTATATTCATCACTGTAACTTCCTACTTATTAAGTATTAACAATGATTTAACTTGGTATTTAATTTGAAAAGTCTAGAATAAATCGTATAATGAGGTATATATATATAATTTGTTGTCACTGTTTTTTTACAGGCAATCCAAATGACATTATATATAGTACTATATTTATATTTCAATATTTACTGATGGGTTTATCATATTTAATAGCTTTGGAACCTTCTACTTTCTTTTTATTAAAGAACAGCATCTGTACAAGCAGAGCAATATTGTGTACAATAAAAGCTTTCATAAAGTAAAGACATTATTATAAAATGAGGTTACGCAATTTTGGTCATATAGTCAAAACAGTCCCTCAATATTCATACCAACAATTTAACATAGTTTCATTAACAAATATATAGACTAAATGTTCTGTAGAAATATGTGTAACTATCAGTAAAAATGATGTGTCTAGCAAGCTATTATTTTTCAAATTATTATTAATTCAAAAGTTATAGATTTAAATAAAATTATGTTCATTTATTAAAGTATGTACAAAAGCTCACTAGACAAATAGCAGTTTTTCCAATAGGTCAATTGAATTATTTTTATATTGAATGTCTATAAAAGATTATACACTATCACTCACTAGACAAATAAAATGTC